GTGTAAACAAATTAGTCTTCACTCGAAGTGGGGCATCAAAACCATCCCCGCCTATTTCGCTGCAATCCAGACGATCCAACGGAACTGAGCAGCCCGAGGAAGTAGGTTGCGCCGATAACGAATGAACGGAAGTGAGTAGGGTATACAGTAGACCGAAAGCACTGGCTACCAATCGCAATATCCTTCAACCGCAGGACGAGCGAGAGGGTCTTGTCGTTTTGTTCAGCGTCCCTATACTGCAGGAAGTTAGGAATGAGAACCATCTCAGCCAACCTATACCGGCTGTCCTGAGAAAGTAGAGCACCTCTAAACAGGCCGCCACCCCTCAGTGTCAGCAACGACAGCGAAGCAGTCGGGAAACACACTATTGCAGTCACCCCGACCGGATATTGCTAGTCCCTGCCCCATAAGGGCGAAACAAGTCGAAACTTGGGCCACCAGAGAGGCAGGGAGAAAGTCCGCACCAAGTGATCTGCACAAAGATGCAACCATGGTGGTGCATGGAATACCCGAACTGTCGGGTTGATCCACAGAGTGTGATGATACCATCCGTGACGTCGAGCAGCGGAGACAGCTAGCGACAAAAATGGGACTTCAAAGTTTGCCTATCACCAGTGTGAATGGGTTACCAAGACCTACGCATCCGCGGATCATTTCTTCACCAAGATTGCCGGCTGTACGCTTTGACTGCTGAGCAGCACCAGCAGAAGCTCTCACGGCGTGGTACCATGTACCGTGCCATATGGCGCTGTGACAGTAAACCACCAGGTGCCAGAATGGAAGATAGGGGGAAACCTTCAAGAATACTAGAAACAGTACTGCTCACAGAAGAACTAGCTGGTGAACTACCTGTGGGCACAATAAACAACACCGCCACACCAGCGGAAAGGTGCCAAGAGGGACGAGAAACGGAGTCCTGTTAGTCCAGTGGGCACCGGCAGTCAGAATCCGATGCAACGGCACGCCGGCCTCCAAACAGGTCTCCATATCTCACTAAACTCTGAACGCAGCCCTTTGACATATTTCTGCAGCGGTGTAAGGGGTCTTAAGAATAAACCACTGGAGCTAAACACAGTGTCCCATGATTTGCAAGCAGAGATACATCTCGTCACGGAGTAGCGGTCGTCGGCAGACGTCGTGGATGAGAAAACATCCTTGCCTAGTATGCCTCCGTTCCAAAAGAACAGGTAGTTCAAAGAAGGTGGAGTTGTCATGTACATTGACGCTCACCTAAACGTCAAGGAAGCGACTGATAGTGTGTTTAGCTTACTACCAGACTCCTTGTGGTGCTATTTCACCAGAAACCAGAGCAATTTCCCATTAGGAGTGGTAGATAGGCCTCCTCTTTGCACGACAGAGCACACGGTACAATTGCTCGACTCCATTTAAACGACCACCTCGGCAACCTATGACAATGAAACTCCGACTACAGACGTCTACACACCAAGACTCAACCCGAAATGTGAAGTAAGATGTGGGCATTAGTCTCTCAAATACGAACTTCAAAATACGTTTCTGGCGACAGGAATAGCAGAGAGGGCTGAGGAAAACACTAGATGGGGTCTAGGTGGAAAAGAATCATCACTTGACTACGTCCTGACAGACGATGGTCATTTGGTGGACAATACCTGGGTCCAACGCCCCCCTTAGGTGAGAGCGACTACGCATTGGCAGGATTCTCCCCGATAATCAAGGAGACACTATCAACAGTTGAGCCAGAAGCGCTCCACCGTTGCCGAAAAGCAGACTACTATCTCTCGAACAATGAGTCCCTGGAGGCTGCATGGCTACAAGTATGGCACTCACTGTAGGTAGACAACATCGAATATATATTAGAGGTGTTATCTAGAGCGTTATCGATAAAAATGTTGAAAAATTAACCAGACGGTCACCTATCAAACGGCCTTGGGTAGCTCGCGCAACCCAAAGACAAACACAGGGGGAAAAAAAGGTATGGTGTCCGTGGCGTGCATCATAAAAATAATCAGACTTTCATGGCTACGAGGCGTTGCGAAACTTATGTGATATAAGAATTCGTAATGACAGACATACACAGCACAGCAACCTGACTAAACAGCTGATTTACAAGCTGAAAAGTCTGTATCGATGTATGTCACGACGCAAATCGATCAATAAGGGTTTAAACCTGGTCACAGGGCTGGCCGGAGAGCCTTTAAAGGGCGGTAAGGTAGCCGAACTACTGAGAAGTCGATTTGACGAACGACTCAACCCAGTAATACACCGACTATCAACATCTAGCAATATAGTGAAGTTCGAGGACTGCCATACAAAGCTAATGAACGTAAAGATTTCGTCAGACTTATTGTTTGCGAAACTTTCAATACTGAGAAGGAGGAAATCACCGGGCTGCGATGAAAAGACCGGTAGCACTAGGCAACTGTCCCGAAGCCCTATGCATTCATATGCAACCTGTTCACACACTCTTTAGAAGTAAATCATCTCCCCGAAAAATGGAAACATTCCATCCCTTCTCCAGTCTTCAAGGGAGGAGACCATAAAGCGCCATGCAACTACAGACCAATGGCATTACTCCCCATATTTTCCAAGAAACAAGAAAGCCTGGCTGCAGATTTTGTTTGGGACTACCTGAAAAGAAAAAACATCGTCCAACCTACTCAGCAAGACTACAAAACCGGGCAGCCACATGCTACATGCTTGATGACCGCTTGGGATGACTGTACCACTAGATGGGACAACAAACAAGTTCACGTTGTCTTCTTGGACTTGGTCAAAGCCTCTGATAGCATCCCACGCTGCACCATGCTTGCCAAACTTACAAAGCTGGTATCACTAAACCACTCTTAGTATGGTTTTACAGCATGCCTAGAGGACAGAGAATCTTGCACTAAGGCAAACAGAGTTCCATCAACCTAGAGGAATGCAAGGACAGGAGTTTCCCAAGGAGCAATCATCGGGCCACTACTATTTCTACCAGTCATAAATGACCTCTCCACTCAATTCACCCCATCTATCATACTATGCGCCGGTGACATCAAAGTATGGAGGACGATGGATGACGAAGGGGACACTAGGATACTCCAAAACGACCTGCTGCATCTGGAGTCCCGACCAACTTCAGACGGTTTTGGCTTTGACCTGCAGCAATGCAAGATGGTGTGTCTTTGCACACCAGGGGTGATGAAAATCAGCTACTTTCTTAACAAGCGTGCAGTCACCAATGTATCCACAGCGAAGAACTAAACGTTTCTGACGCACTGAATTCTACTGATATTTATGAGGGAATGGCAGCAAAGGCGAACGCCATTATGCACTTTCTAAGAAGGCAAGTTGGGTCGTTAACTCCAGAATTATTCCTAATGGTATTCAAAATCTATGTAGGATCCCACCTAGAGGTGTTCGGCACGATAGCCCCCCAGTACTAAGGACACAAACACTCTCCAGAGGGCACGGGAAGAGCGACAAAGTAGGTTGTCGGGCTAACAGCCAAAACACATGCGCAAGGTCTCAGACAACTCAACTCTTCCACACTGAGCTATCAAGGGAAACGAGGTGGCTTGATAATAGCTTACAACATTCACTATGTGGACCACCCAAATAGGACAACGTTATCGGTCCAAAACCGACAGTCCCATGAGAACCCTACTCGCATACCCCACCATACGGCAATGACGAGAGTGGGATGTAACATTTTCCCCCACGAAGTGCGTCCCATGGAACGCTTTGCCAGTGGAGACCGTCGACTCCTCAAAACGACTGCTGGATGAGTATGTGAGTGCAAACGGCTTACTGCAAACATTTATCAGTAGCAACTGATGACATGTTTTCCATCCCTGTTTTCTTCAACCCCAGCATCTGCAATAAGATAAATCACCTCTCCATATTATTGCCAGTAACATTTATCTTTCTGTAGGTACTTCTTACCCTTCTTCTCGTTCCCCACTCACCCCACTTTCAGCTTTCCTTAAGCAAAGCCTAATACTTACTTACATGTGCCTGCTTGCCGGTGTTTCCCATGCGGTTGACTGATCTTATCAGCAGCTCCGTTGCCCCCCCCCCAAAAAACAACAAACCCAGGTACAATTTGCAAGTACGTAGAACGACTGGTTGCGCTGGACCTGTGTCCTCTGGAATACAGAAGGGTAAGAGGAGACTCGATAATGACGCACAACATTCTCAGAAAGCATGGCCACCCACTCCATCACCTATTAAATCTTGGCTGTAGCACTAATCTCAGAGGACACATGCAGAAACTAAGCCCGAAACATAGCAAGTTAGATGTCAGGCACAACTTCTTTTCCGAAGAGTTTTAAGATCATGGAATGCTCTTCCTTGAGGCGTGATCCAGACTACTTCATATGAATTCTTCAAACACAAACTGGATACCCACTTCACGTGTCTCTGAGGGCTATCCAGACCCAAATACATCTTTTAAATTTAACCACCACTCTTTCTCTTTCTTAACTTTCACACAGGTAAACAACCACAAGGAGTAGCCATCCATGGATTGCAGGTGCGGAAGCCAGTTAAGCGAAAGTTTCAATCCCGGAAACACTTTTTGGACCGCTTGAAATACCTTCCAATAGACAGTCGCAACCCTAAAAGCTATAAGCAGAAAGGAAAAAGGACTTCTGCGAGCATCAAAGTAATGCGATCGAACAAAACGAACTGCGCTTCAAGCCCAGAAACGACAGCAAAAAAGCTACAAGCCCCCTCAACTCTCACTGTTGAAACTGGAAATTGGATTCAAGGTCATCGTCGTAACTTGTGCAATCTTTGATCTTCTGTTCGAAACATTAATGTAAAACTCGAAGTTTCTACTTTACACAGAAAATTACTTTGGCTTCCTATAATTTGGTGATTATCAAACAGGAAATAAACTAGAATAGTCATCTGAGAGATGAACAAGAGCAGATAAGCGTGCCTAAATAAAGGGCGCCTGAGAAATCATTTTTGCTAGCGATCCCATTGATATGTGAATCTTAACGCTCTCAAAGTACAAATGGTTGCAGTATCTCATCATGATTAGCAGAGCTTCAAATGTATTTAGTGTTACGCGCCATCACATTTCCAGTAGTGCAATCGTTTTCAATTTTTCAGTCAGAAATGTTGTCGCATGTAGATTGTCTCCAGGTGCTACGTGTGTTGTAAACTGGAGATGTAAGACGGGATATCCTAAATTTGTTTCGTCGGATAAGATACCTCGTGTCCAGCCGCTTTGGACCCTCCCTTCACGTTTACACTTTCATGGTTCATCAGATACTGAACTGAAACCGGATTCAGAACAGAAACTTGTGAGTGCTAATGAGTTACGAGTCTTCATTCTGATAGATATAATTCATTTGATGCCTCTTATTTTTCTGTGTTTATGTATTTCAGTCTACTTTACTTGAATGTGGACATCATCTAGAAATTCCACTATTTATCGGATATCCGACAGCTCCTTGAATAGCGATGTGCTTTCACTCATCCCTCAGCTTTTGGACTTTCCCACGTCGAAAAACTCCTACTTGCAATACTCAGTCTAAAAATATCGTACTTTTGCATCACTTCTGTCCTTGCCCGCACTTCAAGGCTGCGTATTCGTCAACTCGCTTCTCAACAGTTGAAAATCGGCATTATTATCCTTTTCAAACAACTGGTCTACCTCCTGTCAACGGTTCTTAGTGGTTTCAACTGCCAAACTGCCTTAGCTCTCAGTTTTCTTCGGAGGCCGTTCCCCAGGAAACATCTTACCTGCTTCTACATACACGTCTGGAGCTTACAGTTAAACTCGTTAGTCAAGAGCAGAGGAAGTGACAAGTGTTTGAAGGTAAGCCAACATAACTTGTCTTCCTTTATATATTCTGTCCTTTTACTGCATTCACTCTTCGACCTCCCAACTGCTGTTAATTATTTGTTTTCCCAAGAAGTTTATATTATGGTGACATGTCTGCCCAATACGCTAGATCCAAAGCTTTGACACGGATAACGCGGTCGTGCACAAAAAGGGACAATAGCGCCCGGAACAACATTCTAGTTTGTACCCACAGACAATCAGAGGTAGGGCATAACACCGAACTCCTAAAAAGGCGCCCAACTCATGTTTCTAGAATTCCATTAGCCGTCAGGCAGGTGACAGAGTGGCACTAGCCCGTCACAAACTAGTCCTTCCTTAAGCAAGGATCATACCATGCCCGAAAATAGAAGACGGCGCAAATGACTTCAGAACAAGGCAACCACAAGCAGTTCGCCACAATCCGTAGCACTTTCTTCATGGAAAGAAGGCCGCATTATGACACCTGATGACTGCAGTGTTTGAACTAAAGTTGTTTCGGTATCCCATGGGACATTTGCACGCAACCCATGTCACCGATGGGCGCATTGCCACTGCGACACCAAAGTCCCCCAACAATACTATAAGCTGATGAAGAGATAACCATGGAAGTGGTTCTGGTACATTTGTCCGGAGTGCAGGAAGATGCCCGCACTCCGCATGGAAAGTCTGAGGGAGGTGCTCTCCGCCACGCGAAAGCCACCAGCATCCTCGAATAAAGTAGGGTTAACACGAAAGGATGACACAGAGGGACCTGGGAACAGGCCTGGAGCTCCAGCTGCAGGCACACCACCACGCATGGGGACCATATTAGGTCAAGTCTCCATACCTCCTTCCCGGCCTCGGAGAACGTCAAGCGCATGGCCAAAGACATCGACTGCTGCACTCTCTATGAAACCCACCGTCCTTCTTTTGCGATAACTGGAGGTCGTTAATGACTGCGAAATTCGGGCCAGGCTTGACAAGCCACTGTCAATTAGGGAGGACGAGGGAAAGTCAGCAGTCGGAAATCCCGACAGAAACAACACTATAGTTTTACATGGGATTCCAGAATTGCCAAGTGACCGCTCGGTCAAAGATAGGTACTTTCACGACATCCAACAATGGCAATGGCTCTCAACCAAAGTCGGTCTGGACAGCATACCGGCCAACAGCGTCAGTAGACTGCCAAGGCCAGCGCACCTGAAGTCCATACCCAATCCCAGACTACTCGCCGTCCAGTTCGACTCATATGCCTCCCTCACAGACGTTCTACACGCATGGTGTAATGCGAAGGATCGCATGGGTGGCTCAATACGTATATGTGAAAGTAAGCCTAGACCCAGAAGGCAAGAGGAGAGGCTGCAACCACCAAGACCTCTGGAGTCAGTGGTCGTCACACAGAAGCTGACCAGTGAGTTAGATACATCAAGTAAAGAAGCCACCACTGCCATAGCCCCCACCCAAGTTAAAAACAAAACACAAAGGAAGGAACAATGCCAGTCCTATGAGGACTGGCGACGCTAGACCCAACCAGGTAAGCGCTCATCCCGCGAAAATACACAACCAGACCTCCCTCTCACCAGGCACACTCTAACATGTATGTACAGCAACGTTAGGGGGCTAAGAGGGAAGGTAGCAGAAATGAAGACGCTGCGTGAACATCAGCACTCCGACATCATATTCATCACCGAATCCTGCCTCTCGTCGAACATCTCCGACGAAGAGATGCATGTTACTGGCATGGGACTCTTCCGCAGGGACAGAGAGCTCAGAGCAGGAGGGAGGGAGGGAGGGAGTGGCTCTCTACGTGAACTGCCGTTTAAAGGGAAGGGCGGTTAGCGATACGGCCTTAACCCAGCTCCCAGAATCTCTATGGTGCTACTTCATTCTCCACTATGCCAAATACCTGCTCGGAGTTATATATCGGTCCCCCACCAGTTCCCCTGCAAATTACGATTCCGTAACCATTGCCGGCGACTTCAACACCCCGTCCATCCTCTTCGAGACGGAAGGGAGACGCATCAGATCCTTCAGTCAGAAGCTGAAGGATGCAATTAAGACTGCTGGCCTCTCAGAGAAAGTGGGTGATGCTACACGCTGGGGACCTAACGGAAACGCATGGAGCCTTGGCTACATTCTGACGAACGATGAACTTCTCATTGAGGACGTTTGCATACAACCCCCCTTTGACTTCACTGACCACTCAGTAATAACCCTCCCTATGATTACTGGGGAGCTCTGCAACTAGAGACGTCCAACACCTTCCCTTGCTACAGCAAGGCCAACTATGAGCTCATGAGGGACTACCCCATGAATGCATCATGGCCAGTGGACTGGGCTCATCTCACAACAGATGAACACTGGTTGGAGGTGAAGAAAATAATCACCGAGGCCATCAGTCACAGTGTACCAGAAGTAACACACAGACAATCAATGAGAACCTCATGGTTAAAGCGTGGGACAGAGAGGCTTATCCAGAGCAAGAAGCAGGCTTGGTTCTAGTGGCGTACATCAGGCAGGGAGTCTGACTTCTTGAACTACAAAAGGATTCGCAACCACTGTAACATTAGAGTGTGCAGCGACAGATTTTCCTATCAAACAAACTTGGCAGCGAGGTTACAAAGCAATCCCTAGAACCTGTACCACTTCATGGCGAGAAGGAAGTCGACCTGCAAGGGAGTGAATCTTGTCACAGGCTATGACGGGAGTATACTAGGCAGTCTAAAAACTGCAGAGCTTTCGAGCTTACAATTCCAAGCCCAACTTAGCACTGACACAAGATCCACACCGACTCGCTACGACACCGACCTGGTCGTAAATAACGAATACTTTTGCCACATCTCAACCATAGGGAAGAAAGCTTTCGGGAAGCTGTCTAGGCTGCGTCCAGGCAAGTCCCCTGGCTGCGATAACCCAAAACCAGTGGTGCTTACGAAACCACTCCACAGCCTCTTTCAGCAGTCGATAGAGTCGTGCGAACTCCCTGAAGAATGTAGGAGCGCCATCTTGTCGCCTATCTTCAAGGGAGGAGACGGCAAAAGCCCAGGCAGCTATAAGCCAACTGCTCTACTCCCTTTACTGTCGAAAGTGTTAGAAAGCCTGGTCGCTGACACCATCTGGGAATTCCTCAGCAGGGAACACACGTGCGCCTTGCTCATCATGATTTTCGGAGTGTTCGCTCATGTGAGCCAACTTGCTAACCACCTGGGACGACTGGACACTAAGCTGGGACAACAGAAAACCTGTACATGTTGTTTTTCTCGCCCTAGCCAAAGCACTTGACATTGTACCCACAGTTCTGCTTCACAAGATCATATCAGCTGGTATAAGTGAACCCCTACTCTCTTGGTTCAAGGATTACCTGGAAGGGAGGCATTCCCGCGCCGAGGTGAAAAGGAATGCGGTCGGAGTGGAGACCGTCGACGTCAGAGGTATCTCAAGGAGCAATCCTAGAACCACTTCTATCCCTCACGTTTGTCAACGATCTGCCAGACAAAATATCCTCACCCATCCTCCTCTTAGCCGACGACATTACAATTTGGAGGGTGGTAGAGGAAGAAGTTGACAGTACAGCACTTTAGAATGACTCGCGGCAACTCGAACTCTGGTCGTTGGAAAATGGCTTGAGCTTCAGCCTGGAAAAGTGCAAAGTAATGAACATCAGTAAATATGAAGCAAGTACGACCGACTTTCAGTACATGTTGAGCAACCGTGCTACCACCAGAGTGTTCATGGGGAAGGATTCGGGCTCAACTTCTCTGACACCTTGAACAACAGCTCCAACTACAAAGATACGACAACCAGAAGGAATGCCATTTTGCATCTTCTGCACAAACAGCTTGACACCTTCACTGCCGAACTCTTCCTCACCGTTTTCAAATCCTATATGCAACCGCATGTAGAAGTCTTCAATACTGTGGCCCCACCAACACTGAAGAGAGACTAATCTCGTTGAACAAAATACAAAGAACTGCAACAGAATCGGCAGTGGGACCAGAGGGCAAGGCATATCCTGAAAGACTCGAACACCTAAACCTATTCACCTTGGGTTATCGCAAGAAGAGGGGTTGGCCTTATTGTGCCATACGAGATCGTCCATCAGGCAGACCACGCGAACAAATCAGTTTTACCTGCAACTGAGCGGTCTTCGCGATGAAACCCCATTAAGATAGCACACAGGAGAGCCGACACCATACTCGGGTCCCAAGTTTTCTCCCTGAGAATATGTGCTTTATGGAATGCCCTACCGCGACATATCGTTGTAGCTCCCTCAGCCGCTTCATCCAAGAGACGATCAGACAGTTATGTCACGTCGCATGGTCTACCACGGATGTACTCAGGTAGTCACCAACATCACTATCTCCCAACTCCCTCCTACCTACCACTCACTATCTCGCTTCTTGACACATCTACATCACCTACCTATTCTCCTGTAGGAACCAAACCCACGCTACCATCCAAGTAATTCCAACATACTTCTCCCTCGTTCTTATTTCTCTTTTCACCCTCCTTTTCTCCTCCTTCCCTCCCCTTCTTTTCCTTTTTCCCCTCCTTTACTTTTTCCTCTTATCCACTACCTTATTTTTCTCTTTCAAGAACCTACACAGACAGGAGTCACGGCAGTTCCTCAAACTTCCCAGTCACCCATAGCTCCCCAATCATTCCACAAATTACAACTTGCCAACCCGCAAAACATCCACCTCACAGAAGCTAAAAGCAAGAAAGCAGAGGGGATGTCCTCGTCCACTGCAGAAGGGAAACCGAACAACTCATACCAAGCCCTATGAACTAGATGCGAGAGATCAAAACCTATCAGTGTTCTACGCTCACACTATCAATATTGGACATTGGAAATTAGATTCAAGGTCATCGTCGTAACTTGTGCAATCTTTGATCTTCTGTTCGAAACATTAATGTAAAACTCGAAGTTTCTACTTTACACAGAAAATTACTTTGGCTTCCTATAATTTGGTGATTATCAAACAGGAAATAAACTAGAATAGTCATCTGAGAGATGAACAAGAGCAGATAAGCGTGCCTAAATAAAGGGCGCCTGAGAAATCATTTTTGCTAGCGATCCCATTGATATGTGAATCTTAACGCTCTCAAAGTACAAATGGTTGCAGTATCTCATCATGATTAGCAGAGCTTCAAATGTATTTAGTGTTACGCGCCATCACATTTCCAGTAGTGCAATCGTTTTCAATTTTTCAGTCAGAAATGTTGTCGCATGTAGATTGTCTCCAGGTGCTACGTGTGTTGTAAACTGGAGATGTAAGACGGGATATCCTAAATTTGTTTCGTCGGATAAGATACCTCGTGTCCAGCCGCTTTGGACCCTCCCTTCACGTTTACACTTTCATGGTTCATCAGATACTGAACTGAAACCGGATTCAGAACAGAAACTTGTGAGTGCTAATGAGTTACGAGTCTTCATTCTGATAGATATAATTCATTTGATGCCTCTTATTTTTCTGTGTTTACGTATTTCAGTCTACTTTACTTGAATGTGGACATCATCTAGAAATTCCACTACTTATCTTAAATCTCTGTGGTACTGGTTTTTAAACCTTCCAGCAACTTTGCAATTTTAGTTTCTATTCTAAGGCGTAAACTAATGAGCCACTGCTTTGCTTACTCTTGATCTGATCATTTTTCATTTCTGAATGGTTACGCAGCTTGTTGACACGGAATATGATTTCTCTTATAAAGGTATAATTACAAAAAATCCCTTGTTATCTTTTTACCGTTTCCTGGATGTTTTGCCGTATATCGAGTATTATTCGTGATCGATAATCCTGTTTCTGAAGAGTAGTCGAATATGTTTGCTAAAGAGATTTGAAATATTCCAACATAAACTGGTCGATTGAATTTTTGAGTATCTGTGACTTGACAGTAGCTCTGTTAACAGTTTTCTCTGTATAAATAGGTCTAACTAACTTACCAGAAATCAATGCTCTTAAAATACATTTTTCGGTGACATTCTGTAACACAGTGCATTACGGAGAATATGCCATGCATTACTTTGTAATTTTTTTCTTGCTGAATCCCAAGGAATATTTCAAACGTCCGCTGCTGGTCTTTCAGTGGAATCGGTAATCGGAATGCATTCAGCAACCACATACAGGCTCGTGTGGTAGTTAGTGAGCCATACCTATTGTTTGACGGCTGATACCATTTGGCTGTCGATACCTCGGTAGGTGAGGTGGGGTCCTAACTCGTAACCCATCAGTTGAAAGTTAAACGCCTAGACTAATGAGCGACAGCTCACCAACTTGTAACGATTCAGACACCCATATTTGTCAAAGAATGACGATTTCAGGGTGACCATCAGTTTGTTAGTATTCTAAAAAAAATAACAAGCAGCAAATCGTTAACTCGGTCTTGTCAATCATTAATACTGTAGGTGAACAGTAAAACCCTCGGTAACCACTCTAAGTTGACAGCTACTACACAGTTAGTGGGGGACTTAGCTTCAAGCGATTTATTCAAGAGTTGGGTTGTGTTTACGGTATGTGTGGTGGTGGTAGTCCTGTTTCCTGCTGACTCAAGGCTGCTGTACATCACTTCTACCCTCTATGCATATATCGGTTTTAGTTTTACTACACAACTTTCAATTGTTGCTAGTGTTTTAGTCATTTTCTCAAATTAAACCACTATCTAAAAGAACCTTAGCTCATAGGGTTTGCAGAAATTCACATGTATACGAATAGTATATCGAGTTAACATCAGGAAGTATGCAATTTGGAGAGCTTGGTTGCTATGGTTGTCTGGAAAAGTATATCCAGAATTTAGTCTTTTCATTTACTTCAGTATTCATATGTCGAGTAGATATTGTGAAACGTAGTTTATTTTTCTTGTAAATGACATTTCTTTTTGGCTTATGGTACATTAGTTTTGGTGCTTTGTTGGAATAGTTCAAACTATGGTGTACAGAGTTGAGTTGCTTGACCAGTGGAACGAATTAAGGCTCATTATAGTCTGAGGAAACTTGAGTGCTGATCGTGTTGTGAGGGCGGTTGATACTTCCCGGTTGCCCACACCGTGGAAGGCTATTTCTTCTTAAGGTACCTGAAAGCGATTTGTGTAACCGCATAGCCCGTCGGAGATCTGTTTGAGGCCTGTCACACCCAACATTTTGAGTATGATTATTTTGAACTTCTGTATTTTTGGGGCGGGATGGTCGAAAAGAAACGACAAGTGAACCAACACTGGCAGACCGTGGGGTATGGTGGAGTGTGTTATTTTTGGAGCCGACCTTTTCTAACCCCCTCCTTCCACTGAGAAGGCAGCATCAGCATGGCACTACTGATCATCCAAGGGAAACACCTTACTGCTGTCACACCCCATCCATCTAGCAGGAGTACGACTTCGCCCTCAGACCCCGATCATAGTGTAGCAATTTACACCACAACGGTAATTGCTTTTCGTCTTACCACTATCCAATAGACTTTTCTGGTACAGTAGGACCTCGAGAGAACCAGAGTTACACCAGCATAGATCGTTAGGTCATTATGAAATACAAGACCGACCACCACGTCAAGATAGCAGCTATCGGTTGGGAACGGTCAGTCGGTTAAATTGAGTGACTTTCCAACTAACATACTGTTAGTAATCATAGTTATATGTTGTTCCGAGCTGTGGCTCATTGGTTTCAGGGTTATAGATTTCAACTAGTTGTCCACGGGTTCGAGCCCTATTCCATCTACCTAGGTTTGGATAGCCAGATAATAGTATCGTTAGCTGTCACACAACTGGTGAGGCTCATTGCCTTTTTCATGAATATGTACAAGGTTGTTACGTGCATTTCGATTTTATTCAACTAGGTGTTTTGAGCACACTTGAAGAACTAGATTGGACTGAAATCTTAGTGTAAGAACTGAATTTTGGTATACTGAGATATAGATCGAACCTAGTCCAAACCTATGACGCTTGTATTACTTGTATACTGTGTAGTAAAACGTATTTTGCACTAGCAATGTATTACTACTACCTGTCGCATAGAGCTGTAGCTTGATAGTCTAATTGTTCGACTTGCAAGCAGTAGCTAACGAGCTCAAACTTAAGTGTAAGGGATACTGGCATATGTTATTGGGATTTCGAAAACTATATAGCCTAAATCCATTTTTGCCACCTGTCTCATGCTCATCATACTTTACAATGATTTTTGCATTTTGTTTTATATTATCACCTGACATTGAGTCTGATTTAATCTTTATGTCCAGTTTCCTAACTTATTCAACCGTCATCTTTTAACGGGGTGATTGCTGACGAAATCGCAGCTGGCATACAGAAGGCCTGTTCGTCATTTGCCAATTTGCATCACCTGTTGCACCAGCTGGTGAGATACCCAGCTATCTGTCAAAGGACGAGTATACTGCACTGAAATCCGTTCTTTCCTGTTATGCTGCTGTCAATCATGGCTGTTGAAAGTAGAAGACAAAGTGGTGACAGAATTTTGATCTTAGGTGTCTTCACATTATTGCTCGCATTTGGTGGAATCACTATGAATATTGCTGAGATCAGGCAAAGGGTACTAGACAAGACAGGCAAGTCGATTGATGAGTTTGTGAACCTTAGTCGACTACTCGTCGTAAAGTATCTTTCTCTAGTTCACAACACGTGTCATGGTTTCCAGCGGGAACCTTGTTGACACCTGCAGTTAGGCAGTTGAAAAACTACTCAACTGTAAAATATATTGACATGGGTAGTGCAATTTGCAAGTCATTTGCAAGTTAATCATCCTTTCACAGAATTCGGATGTTGACAGCTCTTACATAAAATCGATGGCAGGGTCTTAGGAGACTAAGAATAAGGCTAGTCAACACAGACTAGGAATCAGGTTCCGATGACTTTCATTGTTGGCATTGGCCACAAAGTGAGAGGTTGAGAAAGCTGTTAGATGCTTAATATTGGTAGAAAGAGGTGAAGACAACGAAGAAGACTTAGTTGAGGAGGGTAGATTATATTTGATTGGGTCTTGTTTACTACTGGAAGCGTGTGAGTGGCTGACACTCCCCAGCTATCCACACCATAGAAGGCTATTTCTTCCTAAGGTACCTGAAAGAGAGGAATATTTATGACCGCAGGACGCATGGGACGTCTACTGAAGGCCTATCACCCACAATGTTTTGCAGGTTCTTGATTTGAAGTTTGGGTGTTCTAGCGAGGACCCATTGGAAGACTGAGGGGCAGAGAGGAGTGTGCTGTTTTTTGGACCGATTTTTTCTATCCCTCCCTTCCCACGGGCATGAAAGCATCAGCGTGACACTACCAGTAATCCAAGACAAACACGTTACTGCTGTCACCCCTTCCAGTAGTATGATTTCGCCCTCAGATCCCCATAGCGTAGCTATACATACCATAATAGTGACTGCTTTTCGTCTTACCATTACCCAACATCTCTTTCTGGAATGGTGGAGTCCCGAGGGAACAAGCGTTTCAGCCAGTGTAGCAATACACAAGCCCGAACATCATGTCAAAGTAACAGCTATCAGATGCAACTGAAATAACGCTATGTTAGAAGACTGAAAGTGCTAAGACAAATAATTTAGTAAAAGTTAGTGTAGATTGTACAAGGGAGTTTAAACTACGTAAAACATCCATGAATCTTTTTCCACCACGTAGCGCATCACATAAATGTACTTCCTATACAAGCAGATTGCTTTTGGAATAAATCTGATTCGGCCCTATAGTTTTTTGTACTGAATGAACTTTGAATGACAAGTTACTATAGTTAGTCTACCTATTTTTTAGCCAAATCTTTGAGGAAGCATTACTGAAGTTTGTTGCATCACTTTGGGTTTAGAGAGAGAGGGAGATGACTTTCAATCAGTGGGTCGTGGGATGTAACCGCGCTTCACCTACCGAGGTGTAGGCAGCCAACTAGGTTGTATCATTAGGCCTCATACAATAGGTGTGACTCATTACCTACTGCACACATTTGCAAAAGGTTATTGAATGCATTACGCACATTCTATGTATATGAGATGGTGGAGAATACTTGCAGCTCAGGAGTGTATAATTTCGATGAGGTTGTGTTCTCTCACGTGGGTTGTTTAATCGTGTTGATTGTGGTTTAGCTTCCCCCTGATTAGAAGTACGATTACTTGTCGTACTTCCTGTTGGATCTTAGAGTTAAGTCTTGAGGTCTTCAGTGACGAAGCGTCTTCCGTAATGTAGTTTAGTTCTTTTCTGAAGGAGTTCCTCGGATTTTTTGGACAAGTTGACTACGCATTCACTCAAAGGATATTTCTCCTCTGGAAACAACCTCATCAACATATATCATCGTCATCAAAATCCACACAGGCCCAGGTATTACTGCGTAACGGTCCAACTGTTTACACTTCATATCAGCACATCAAGTAACAACTCAGTAAAATGGAAGATGAAGAAGGAAAGAAAAATCAGCCAAAGGAAGCAGAAGTAGGAAGTAGTAAAAGAGAGAAAGGAAGAGTGAGAATATGATGAGATTAGGTATGGCGGTTAAGATGAAGATAATGTGTGTATACATATGCGCTAGGCTATGTAACACATGTCCCAGCTAGCCATCTCAGTCGATAAAGGTTCACAACCGCGTCAACTGAATTTCTTCTCCCTCCCTAAAACTCTTCGTCTATATTACTCACTGGTGACATCACGGAACACGGCCTATGCTACGAAAGCAATGGTGGTCAAACACCTGAAGCCTTTTCATGTCTCCTACCTTTATTGCCCATGTTTCACACCCATACAGTAGAACAAAGTGGACTGCAGCACAGTATACTCGATCCTTAATAGATAGTCGGATATCGCAACGGCATCACATATGGTGTAATATGGCGAAACCCAATCAAACCTTTTGTATCTGTGCAGAGATTTTGTCGGCCACTGACCAATGCATCAAGAGTGATCTCACTTCCCGCGTAAGTAAAGTATTGAACGCATTCAACCACTTCACTCTCTGTTGTTAGTCGGAGTGTCATCGAAAACCAGTTCTGGAGCAACAATTTGCTCTAAAGCGGCGAGAAATGCATCCTACACATTCCCAAATTGCAACTCCGGGTGTCCAGAGGACTGAGTCTTGTCAGGGCTGCCATCTGCGTATTCTAGGTCTACCAAAAATTCTGTTGTGATTAGGTTAATTCTTATGTATTTGTTTGTCGAGAAGGAGACCTCCATAAGAACATCTTTGATAAAATTAAATAGCAATGGAGAAAGTGGGCATTCTTGACGGACACCACTCGACGTACACAACTCACCTGATATCTCACCGTAGGCTCTAATACGCCCACAGGTATGCGAGCAAAGAGCCCTCAATAGGGTGATGTACTTATTCGGTACCCTTTCCAGTGAGAGATACTACCATAAGACTTCTCGATCAACGAAGTCGAATGCCGTCTTCAGATCAGGCATTGGTAAGCGTGCCTACTCTATAGTTCAAGATGATCTTACCCTTTATTCTCTGTAAATGGTTTTTGAATCTACACTCATGATGATAAGAGCGGTTCATCTTTCTTTGTTGTTGATAATTATCTTCTTAAATATGTTGTCTTGTACGTAAAGTATCGGAGTTTTATTATTCATAGTACGGCTCTGGTGTGAGCTGTTGTAGTAACGGAAACGTGCATGCACTTACCATCATCATCATCGCTATTATTTTTATTACATATTCCCGTTTAATTGATTTTTAGCATGCTATTTATACACTGAATAACCACTGTGTTTTGTGTATGATTACATTTTAATATTATTTAGATTTTATCTGACTGGACCATTATTAGTCGTTTGTTAAAATATGTTTGGCCAAAGGATAAACCAGAAATTCGATTACGTGTTGTTGCAGCAGTTCTCTTATTATTATCCTCTAAAATTGTGAATGTTTTAGTACCTTTTGTATTCAAGCTTGCTGTGGATTGCCTGTCTGGAGAAACACCTTTACTACTGTGTAATACAAATCCGGCTACAACAGCTACAACTGTTTTAATTTCATGTAAGAAATTTATTTTGTATTTAATTAGACAGAATACAAGTTATGTATTATTCGGTCAAGTAATGTATATATTACTAATACAGTGAAAACTAAGCGTATGGTACTCGTAGTGTACATGCAGTAACAACTGTCTTCTAACTGGAAACGTTTAATCTATGACTTGACTACTGGTCCACTGCTAACTGGGTGACCTGAATGTCCTAGGTTTGATCCCCGGTGGGGTCATGTGTATGCACTGTTGAGAAGTTCCGTGCTAGAATGAAACACCTGTCCAGTGCTCCCAAGTTTCCGATGTTTCTCCAACGAACATCAGTTCATGATGAATACCAGCCAACCTGAAATTAATCGATAAATCCCCACAAACCTCCAAATTGAGTTGTCTTTTAATTTTCATGCATATTGACTGCTACCTCTGAGGGTCATCTAGCATTATAGAATATGGCACCGGTAAGAGTTGCAGCAATTCATGAGTTAGTCGCCAGAGATGGCAACCCGTGTTACTCCCTAGTCTTCAGTACTTAGCACCGATCGACACATGTCGATCAAGTTTTACCCTGTGTGACCTTGTAAGCGAAGTGATTTGACACTATGGTTTACTGTATTTTACTGTTAGATGATGACCGTTAATCTGCGGTGATTCCTCTTTACTTGAGATTGAGCATAGCCGTTAAGATGAGGATAATATGTGTATACATATGCACTACTCCATATCGATTCTGAGCCATATCACCTAGAGCCTCCAACTACTCACTCGTCTCGCTTGTCCCGTAGGCCCAAATCGTCTAGTCTGCATCGTCTTACATGACTGAAACCGGTAGTCAAGGATTTCATGCATTGATGGCATGGAAGTAGGTGATTTCTTTGTGGTTACCGGTATGTAATGTGTTACTTTGTAATCTAGTGAAATATTCAATGCAACGATGCAAATCTTTAGAACCCTTTATACGTTCTTAGCTCCATTGTCTGTTACTATGTGTCTTTTTAATTGAAAAAAATGTTTTTTGTGATACAGAAAACTCAGCAAATTGAATGTATGTATCAGACAGAAAACATCAAAGTAGAACCTTGCACACAATTGCATCAGTGGTTCAAGTTGCCACACTTCACCGGATTCAGTATACAAAGAACAGGTGGATAAAAAAAGAGTGATAATAACCACTGATTCTTATCATCTTTGGGACCCCAGCCGAGTAGTTTTAATCTCCCAACACGGCTCAGATCAAAAATCAGTGACTACATCAACTTGTGGCACGTCATGGTCTGGCCACCTTGAATCTTCTTCCAACCTAATCCAACTTCCTTAAGCTTGGCACGTCGAGATAGGAAGTGACTCAGCATATGCAGTACAGGTTCAAGCCATCTCATTGAATGAAGGCCCATAACGTTTCTCTGCCCTTCACTTGACCTTAGCACTGCTTACACAGTGATTTCACAAAATATGAGCAAAGCTACAAAGACTTCAATGATAAAAACCCTGTAACAGCTTCATGTCTTCTTCTTTTCACGGACATGTCTCACAGTCCATACAACAGGGGAGAACGGACTTCAGCGTGGTATACTCGTTCTTTGATAGATAATCGGATATCTCATCAGTCGGCGCCGCAGATGATGTATATTAACAAATGTTAAACTGGTCTTCTCTGTCCGAACTGGAATTTCATCGTCAACTAGTCACTTCAGTTTCATGCGACCCCTCAAGTAAGTGAAGTGGTCGACATATTCAACCACTTCACTCTGTATGAATTAACTGGGAGTATTATTATTATTATCATCATTATTTGTCCCTTGGATTCCTAGTGGAAAATAGGTCTTCCGTAGCACGTCGCCATTTCACTCTGTTCTCTACAGTTTTTTGAACCTGGCTCCGCGACTGCCTATAAGCTTTCATTTCTTCCTCACACCATCTCCTCCATGTCACCCTCGCCTTGGACGCCGAACTCATCGTTTCCTCTTTGGATTCCACTCGAGTACCTGGCCTGGCGCTTGGTGTCCCCTAATGGTCTTCACAGTGTATGCCCAATCCATCTCCACTTTCTGCTTCTGCATATTTGTTGGGCGATAGGTTCTTCCTTGGATCGTTCCCAGAGTTTCTTGTTACTTATTCTTTCTGGCCATCTGAGCTTCAGTATCAAGCCAGTGTAGGAGGCAGCTGTTGATGAATGTTTGTAGTTTGTTGGAAATACTTTTTGTAACGTGCCAAGTTACTGAACCATATAGAAACACTGACTTGATGTAAGTGTAGACAATTTTGGGAGTATTATCTTACATTTGATAAGTGCGAAATGCATACCAAACATACTCAGGTTTCTGCTCAATGCGTTCACCTAGCAGAACAATATTGTTTACACTATTGGTCAATTTTTAAAATTTTCTTTTTATTCCAACATTTAATAGTTGAACATTCTTCCTCAATATACTTTTGTTTAAATTCTGATTATCATTTTGACTATCTGAGATAGCCATGATGATTTAAAATGAAATGAAGGTTTAGACCGCGGCCGGATTCGAACCAGCGACCACCATGTTTCCTGCTCGATGCTCTATCAATTGAACTGCGAGATTCAACTGCTGATCATATTTTTATTTCACTTCAGTCACTAACAGAGCTTTGTCTGACTGCCATGTGAATCCATGACGCGTTACTACTACGAGTTGATCGTATACACACTGGCTGCCCCCATAGCCAGAACTTTTCATCCCAATCGGAATGTAACTGATTTAGATTGAAAGGGGGAGCTTCACAAATTCACATGGTAGTTGGACAAAAAAAATCTTTTGGTGATTGAAGTGAAATAAGAATGTAGTCAGTAGTCTTACCTCGTAGCTCAATTGGTAGAGCATTGAGCCGTAAACCTTAGTGGTCACTGGTTCGAATCCTTCCAAGGTTTAAATTTTCATTTCACCCAGTATCAATTAATACTGATTGTCTACAGCTTATTATTTTTTACTTCTGTTCTACTTTCAGATGGTTTATTTAGGGCTACAGCTTCTGGTTTAAATGAATTACGTACTGCAATTTTCGCTAAAGCTGCTCTATCTTCTATTCGACAAGTTGGCGTTCAAGTATTTCGTCATCTGCACAATCTTGACTTGGGTTATCATCTTGGTCGAAGAACTGGTGCATTAGGTAAAGCTATTGATCGAGGAGCAAGAGGTATACAATTCATACTGACGTCTATGGTTTTTAATTTATTTCCAACCGGATTTGAGGTGGCTGTCGTAACTGGGATCTTGGTAAGTGAATGTTTCATTTTCTATCTTATTTACTAGTACAGTAAATTCATCAAGTTACACTAGAATTTTGAAATTACCAATAAGTGTATCCAACTTCTTATGACGTATGTTGAGATGTATAACTAACAGGACTAGTTCCATGTTTCAATCGAGTTACTTAAGTTTTCTTGTAACCTAATCAAAATTGAACTGAAATATGCTCAGCAATCTTGTGTACATCGATCCAATATGCAGTGAGTCACACATAGTGTAGGAATACTATCTAGTTAGTTGACCAAACCTCGATAAATGGAGAGGTGTTCAAACCTGTAACCTATTTGATTGAAAGTTATCTCACTGAAACCAATGATGGTGTATTGAGATCGGCGTTCACTTAACATGTGCCACATATTTCAAAGAGACTTCAGTGGATGTAGGCAGGTTCATAGCCTTCCTTAAATAATAGCAGATATCTATTCTCAACATTATTCATTCTGTGGTGCTGTCACATATAAACAATGCTACAGAAACACCTATATTCAAGAGTACTGATATATATGGACATTTGTTATTAACAGATTTCTGTTTGGATAAAATTTCCAACTATATGTTGTAAATAAAGTCATAAAAACATATAGAGTAATATAGGTTTAATGTGAATGCGTAGTGAAAGAGCTTGTGGAAAGTTGTTGTCAACCTTGTGAGGATGCATACTGCCACCAATCCTATTTTACTTTGTTATAGGATATATTGGTGAGTATAATCCTAGGCACCTTCGACTTTCTACGGACTGACTTGCTCCAGAGAGGATATATCTTTTTGACATAGTCCTATTCAACGAAGATGCTAACAATATCCAGGGTCTTTTGAACACCTTGAGCAAAAATCTGAGTATGTTTGACATGTGTTTCGTATATGTCAAGTAAGTGGATTTGTATGCACTGATTCCCGGCTTGAAGATAGGAGAGTTGTATCACCTCGACTGAGTTGATAAAAATCAGATGGAAATGCTACCTGGCTGCTGACATATCGATGGATTGGACGGGGTTTGAACTCGTGACGTACTGGTTAAAAACCTTCTCCCTGAAATGAATGAAAGTGTGTTTACTGTACGTTTGTCCTGGAACTGACACTCCTGGTAATCGATGCCACAATAGGTGTTAAAGCTGAAGTTGCACTGTGTATTTAGACCAGAAGGTTCATCAAATGTTCAAACTGATAATTGAAATGATTACCCTTCATCATTTCTACATATACTCTATGGAATTAAGCATAAGTTCTGCTATCAACGGAGTGACATTTTTCATTTTATCAAATGTACTCGATAGACGCATCGTATTTTGTTAACTGGAGACTTGAGTACACATTTCAGCCAACTTGACTGGGAAGAAAATCATTAAATGTGACCTATAGAGGTGAGGTGGGGATTAGTTGATCACAGGTTAGATAATAGGGATCACTTTCTTCAACTTTATGTAGATCACAATCTGTTTCTAGTCAGCACGAATTTCTGAAGTAGTCACATAGCTATTTTACTTTCTCTCCCTCTATTAAATCCTCATTTCAAGTTCCTACACTTAACACAGTAGTACGCAATAAGCAAGTGGATAGAATATGATATATGTGTAGGTTACTTAACTCTCATCTTCAAGATGATAGGAACTGTTAGTCAAAAATTTGATGATACTGCTCATAGTTACTCATGATGATGCTGATGTATAAATTATTAATCGGACTATCTGTCAAAAGATGAGTATACCAAGCTGCAATCCGTTCCTTTCTGTTATATGGCTGTAAGACATGGTCATTGAAAGTAAAAGACATGAAACGGTGATAGAGTTTTCGTTCACAGGTGTCTTCATAGCATTCCTCTAATTTGATAGAATCACTGTGTGAACATTGTTGAGGTCAGGAGAAGGGCACTAGGCAGTACAGGCTAACGAGTCGATTAATGAATGAGCTTGTGAACCTTAGTCGAGCCATCACCTACCTCGACGTCCTATGCTAGGGGAGGTAGGAAGAGTGTTCTTAGTGATAGAACTGAGACATGGCACCAATGCATAAAGTCCCTGGTTGTTGGTCTGAGCCGTGTAGGGAAGTGTAGACTGTCTGGTTGGGGACCGCAAGATGCCAGAAATTAGTGTTTGAGAGCTCTTGGTGACGTGGCTTAGAAGTTTTTACTTCTTGGCACCTTCTTAAGTTTGAATGTTTGCCCTGAGCTCATACTTTCATACAACTTTGTCTACTTCGATATCAGTCCTTTTATCCACCTGTTCCTTGTATACTTCTGTGAAGTGTAACTACTAGGGCTTATTCCGGTGCTTGTAAGAGATAGGAGAATATTGAGTGTGAGATTTGGCTAGTGTAATCCAGGTCGAACATCAGATACCGTTCTCACTTCAGTGGGACTTTAGGGTGATCTCCTTTAGTAGCAGTGTATAACTGACTGATGAAGCTAATGTAGAACTTCGCATACAAGTTTATCACTTCAAATTTCTACACTTCATAATAGTATACAAAGAATAGATGGATTGAAAAATGGTAGTACCAAAGTTGATAAAGTTCTGTAAGATAATGAACAATTTGAAAATGAAGGTTAATACTAATATCCAAACTTTAGTCAACTTCAAAGAGTGGATGTATCTACTCCAGCAACATCTCCAATACTCCTCATTTAATGATTCAAATCACTTTGGAGACCTCAGGCTTTTAGTCGACTAGACCACCGAGCCAAGAAGTGATTACTCTGCCTCGGTGGTCTAGTGGATAAAGCTCTGGTACGATCGGCCTCGAGTTTGAATCCCAGTGGGAAAAGCATCACTCACTGGAAGGCACGTACATCCATCCGGCTGACGAGAAAGCCCCAAATAGGACGAAATGCGCATACTGAATTCCACTGCTAGCCACTATCTATCATTAGTATAAAGTAAAATATAGTATAATTGTTTTTATATGGTACCGTCGTTGATTGGCATATGGGCTCCTGTGAGGATGCCTCGATATTGCCAGCGTTCTAATTATGTTAATGTGTTTGAAGCGATCGCTCCTGAGTCCGAATCCCGATGGGAACAACATCACTCACTGGGAAACAGGTACATCCAGCTGACGAGTCCCAAATAGGACGAAATGCGCATCCTGGACTCCACTGCTAGCCACGATCCATTATTAACATAAAGTAATATGTTTCGACAATTACTTATTGATCATTATTATTATTATTATTATTATAACTTTTTCTATCACACCTTTCTTCTCAACTTTTCATCTCAGTACTATAAATATGGAGTAGCAGCTAGTACAATCGCGTTAAGTTGTATAGCTGCTTATACAGCATTCACTTTAGCTATTACGCGCTGGCGGACTCAATTTCGTATTCAAATGAATAAAGCTGATGGACATGCTGCTAGTCAAGCGACAGATTCACTTATCAATTATGAAACTGTGAAAGTAAGTTGTATTATTTTATGATTACAGTACATCTGCCTCACTGAAATCGGTTCTGAGCCATATCACCTAGAGCCTCTAACCAATCACTTGTTTCTCTTGTCCCGTGGACTCCAACTGGCTAGTCTGCATCGCCCTACATGGCTGAAATCCGACAGTTAAGGACTTCATGCATTGATACCATGTAATAGTTTAACGGTCCTGAGGCTTTTTCCAGCCTGAACCTACTTTGGTCAACATTGTGCGACGAGGCAGACGGTGGCTGGGCATTTCAATCGATGAAGCTTACCTAAAACTGTATACAATGGCACCATGACCCACATCCTATGCTACGAAGGTGATGATGATCAAACACCTGAAGCCTTTTCATATCCTCTATCTTTAATGGTGATGTTTTACAGCCATATAATAGAACAAAGCGAACTATAGTACAATATACTCAACCCTTAATAAACTGTTCATCGTGTTCAGGTCACTCAAATAATCTGCAGACAAAATTACCTACTAGAGTGTAAGATGACTATGAAAGTCACTGACACTTCTATATGTTACATATTTGTGTGTGGTGTAGATATTTACACATTGAGTAGGAGCGAATATCCTAGATTATTCAATAAGCTAACTGGTCTACCTGAGATATTCATGTCCCTCTTTATATAATATGTTCTAGGCAATATGAAATTGGTTACTCTCCAGTTACTGGTCTATGTATGTAATTCAATAGGCCAATCTTGACACAAAAAATAGGTCATTGAGTAACGTCTCTGATTACAACACTAGATGAAAAGAGAATGAATCTCTGTAGGGGGGGGGGTGCGTGACATCAGTTCTCTTGGGGTTGCAGAAGTCATTCGTTTTCTAACTATTCAATAGCCTCATATCGTTTTTTACACTGTTTAGTTGACTGGTAAGCTTCCAGCCCAGCTAAGCTAGTTAGCCTGTGTGTTATGTAAAATAATGTTTATCTACTACTCCTCTTCTTGTGGAGACATGTATATTGGATGAGAGTGCATTGAATTCCACTGTGGTGTGTATGTCTGTAAGTGGTTTAAAGTGTTGACTTTCAACCAATAGGTTGTGAATTCGATCGCTGCTCCACCTACTGAGATTTATGCAGACAAGTAGTAGTATCATTAGCCCTCACACACAATAGGTTATTACCATTTATGCCTATTATAATGATCAGATGACATGATTACTTAGGAATTTTGTGATCAGATTTAGTCACATGTGTTATTATACGGTGATAGTTATTCGATAATATGACCATGGATTGGTAGGTCGAATGTCGACATGATATAGCGTAACTCAGTCGAGACTAACTCACTGACTGATAAAATCAACGTAGAACGTCCTACACAAGTTCATCGGCTCTAGTTACTACACTTCACAGTAATGCATAAAGAACAGAATGGATACAAAACGAGTGGTATCAAAGAGTATACAATTTGAAGACGTCAGTGAGTGAATACATCTGCGTCATCGTGACCGATTTTCAGTTCTCAACCATAGATTTCTATCATTTCGTGGACCCCAACAAGATAAATACCTGATCTAAATCTCTCTACACAACTCAGACCAACGGTCAGACACTTCATTCATTTTCCCACGTATTGATCTGGCCACTACCAACCCTCTGACAACCTAGCACTTCGAGTCGAGGGAGACAGTGGCTCGCTGTGCGTAGTACACCTCCAATCCGTCTCAGTCGACTGAGGTTCAATCGACTTGCCAGCCTTTCATGTTTAGTACCCTTCATCTGACCTCCACAGTGGTCATACTCTGATTCCACCAAATGTGAGCAATGATATGAAGATATCTTTGATAAAAATCATGTAGTCGCTTTATACCTTCCTGCGTGAGAGTAACTACTCCTCACATGAACTAAATCAATGAATAATAGTGAAGATGATTAGACAACCAATAACTTCTTACCAACGGATGCCAGTTTACCTGATTCCTTAGCTCATTCACCTGGCAAGTTCACTCGCTTACAACTGAATACAACTGTGTCACCTTCTTGACCTACTGTGGTGGTGTTCTAATGAATCTCCATCCAACACTGTATGACGTTACACTTGTCTCTTCTAATCTTTCTGTTATGATGCAAAGTTATGAGAATGAACGAAAATACTTGCCGATTCATAGACGTGAAGTCGAGATGATTCAACATGAGTGATTCGCAAAGAGAAATCAAATGAATTTATAGTAACTCAGACTGAAAACGTTTATTCATGAGAACCGATGTTAGTTATAGAGTTTACAGTAACATTGAAAGGTAGGGCATAATCAGTAGGTTTAAAGACTTATGAGCCAATCAGAACGCTAGAGGTTCATTTGAACCGCGAAGTAAAACAATTCAGATATACATAAACTGTAAGTATCGAGTATAAGGGATATAGGCATACATACAAACACTTTCTTATCAACAATGACTAAAGTCAATGGGAAAGTAAGTGATTTTTAGGCTACCTTCTTCGCATATTGTCCTATATAGGGTGTATCGAATAGAGTTGTATTCAATCACCATGGTTGGAGGCCGCAGATTCATTATCCTGATCGAATGAACATACTTCATGTGTATATATCAGATTGGTTTAAATACCAACTAACTGTGTCATCTGTTACCACAGTTAGTTTTGTTAACGATAATTCACTGGAAGCAATTCACTTCATATCATCCCCTTTTTGTCAAGACCTTATGATAATCGCCAACCTCTCTCATACATTGACAATGCAGAGAGAACTGTACGAATAATCCTTCAATAGATTCACACTTCCAAGATGATAATCACTTCAGTTTGAACAATGTTTCGGTATAATAGGCAATTCTCAGCAAAAATATACACCTTTACAGCATTTCGAATAATGTTAATTATTGAATCATTCTATTCCTCGTACAATATGCGTGCAGGGTAAGGCAATGCACAGTTGATTTCTTGTATTCAGTTGTACGATGGTACAGACTGGTGTTATTTCTTCTTTTCCTCCCATGAGGAGGTAATAAATACAAGGGGAGAACTAGGGAATAAAGGGAATGCTCAGTATCATATACCTGACTGACTAGAATTTCAATGTCTGTCAACTATCGTGTTGTTTGTTGATCAGTTGGACCAGAGGCACAACACTCACTTTACTGACAGATTTATAAACCCTCTATCTACTTTACAACAAAATATAACAGGAGTCGTGAAAAATAAACATCTCACACAAGTTTTGGGTTACAGATGAGGCTAAAATCAACCGTGGGACGTTGAGAAGAGATCAGACCACTGGTTATTTTCAGATAAGAAACCATTCAATTGAGAGTAATATAAGTAAGTGAGAAATAATTGGGAGACAAACTGTCAAGTCATCAGCATACCTCTAATCAAAATTACTTTCAACAGAATAAGGTGAGTCATGAAAGAAGAATGACACGAGAAGTAGAACAAGTACTACTCCTTGAAACCCACCGACTTCATCAAACAATGATGTGAAATGATTCCCTTTATCGACAGTATACTGTTCACTTTCAGCCAGTTTGAAACCTATGCCTCAGTATGAACAATGACAAGGTTATTTAACCAAGAGTCGTCTAGGAACAGGATTAAAGGCAGATGTCTTATCTAACCAAGGCCGAAGTGAACATACTTTATCACCTTTGTTGAAACTAGAAATAGTATTCTGATAATACAAGACAGTGGCATCATTTAAAGTACTATCAAACAAGTGTTCAGAGAGTAAACGTCAATTGATGGCATGTTTCTCTTTCTCTCTCTCTCTCTCTTTGGCAACCGAAATGTGTTGCTTTGTTGAACACTGTAATCAGTAAGCGTGAATAATGTCTGTAAGTATGCTTTGTGCTTTGGACCATTAAAGTGCACTCTTGTACTCTTGTAAGATTGGTAGAAGCATGTTTCCTCGCTCATCCTCGAACTAGCTGAAAAGTCAATGTATCTGGATATTTGATTGATTGGTGGAAGTCCCAACCGAATTTCGAAAACCACAGTTGCATCTGTCAATCTGGGCCACCTTTAATCCCTCGTGATGTTAATCTGACTGTAAAACTTCGGGGTTTACAACACTTCGATGCGAGTGGTTCTGCCCTACGCATCTGAAATATGACCTCTCCGATCTGAGGATATGCGACGACTCTGTGTGTTTGATCATCATTGTCTCCGTAGAATAGTTCGTATCTAGTGGCAACATGATGTAAATAATAATTCTGAGGTACGATAGCGTATGTTTGGGTATGATGTAGATGGTTATTCAATAAGTGAAGTCATCTGGAAACACCGGATTCGATGGATGACTTGGATGTGTGTTGCGCATGTCGTCGCATTGGGCTTCAACACCTTTCATTGTTTAGTAACCTTACTGAACTGCTATTCTTATTGTGTTTCCTCCTTATCTAACCCCTTCCCTTCCATTTATATCTTCACAATTCTGTTATGCAATTTTGTGTGTCTCATTTCTTGGTGCCCTTGGTGTACCATGTTCGTTTTCCAATAATAATAATAACAATAACTATACTAGCAATGACAATAATAATGACACTATTATAATAGTGATGGCTATGATAATAATAACAATAATAATGATGATAATGGTAACGACAATAATTACAATGCTAATAATGATGATACTACTACTACTACTACTAGTAATAATAATAATAATAATAACAATAATAATAATGACAATAATAATAGTGAAAACCAACTGAATAGGCAGTATTTAGAGTCCTACTATCTCAAACTACATCTCGTTTCATCTTTACCTGCATAAAGAACCTTAATGTAACTAAGGTGTACGACGGTGTTGCATTAAATCAGCTGAGTGAGTAATCACATTATACACTTAATCGATAAACCTTGATCTCATACCTTATGATTTGAGCGATTGATTTGTTGATTTCTGATTGGTTGGTATTCATCATGGACTGAAATCAGTTGATTGAAGAATATTGAAAACCTGAGAGCAGTGGATACTTAACTGTTTCGTCTTACTATGAGACTCTTCAGCAGTGCACACCCCTTGCCTGGAATTGAACCCAGGACCTTAAGGTTCCACTGCCAGCACATTACCATTGGGTTACAATCCAATGATCTATATTTCCTATTTCTGTCGGGACTTGAAGGTTCTTGGTTCGATCTCTGATGGAGTCATGGTTGCTCACCGCTGATGAGTCCCGTACTAGGACGAAACATCTGTCCAATATTTTTCCAGCTACATAAATTATCATTCACGTTGGCCCTACTTAACTTCAAATCATTCATTGTCTTTCTTTTCTTTTCAGTATTTTAACAATGAAGAACGTGAAGCAGAAATGTATGATCGACTACAAGCACAATATGAAGAGGCTAGTATTAAAACGACTACTAGTTTAGCTATACTAAATTTTGGTCAAGCTGCTATATTCTCAATTGGCTTAGCGGCAACTATGATTACAGTAGCAAGTCAAGTTGCTTCCGGTTCAATTGATTCAACTACAACTGCCAGTGTACTCGAAGTTACAGGTATTAGTAATTTGGCAAAATCATTAACGGTTGGTGATCTTGTCCTTGTCAATGGTCTCTTATTTCAATTATCTGTACCGTTGAACTTTTTGGGTTCTGTTTATCGTGAAGTAAGACAATCATTGATTGATATGTCAACTATGTTTACACTTTTGGAGATTACACCGAAAGTTCGTGTAAGTTATTTACATATATATATATATATATTAAGAATATTTATTCATTTTGATGGTTATGCGGACTACAACCGGCTAGTCTTCATCTTCTCTATACAGCAAAAGCCAACATTCAAGACCTTATATACTAGTTCCATATTTTAATTAGACCGCTTCTCATATCTTTCCAACGTCAACCGGTTTCAGGTAATATTATACAATGCGACATGCCATGACTAGGCATTATTTATAATTTTATTTATTTGTCCCGTGGGTTCCTAATGGAACATAGGGATTCACTAGTACGTCTACAGTGCACTCTCTTCTCGACTCCTCACAAGCTCTCATTTCTTCCTCGCACAATCTCCTCCATGTCACCCTAACCTAGGACGCCCAACTCGTCGCTTCCCATCGAGGTTCCACTCGAGCACCTGGCCTGGCACGTGATGTCCCCAGTCAGCCTTCTCAGTGCATGGCTCAATCCATCTTCACTTCCTTCCACTGCATATTTGTTCAGCGATAGGTTCTTGTTTCGTTGGTTCGTTGCCAGCCAGCCAGCCAGTCAGAGTTCCTTGTTGCTTATCCTTATTATTCTGGCCATCTCATTTTCAGTAAGAAGTGAGCGTAGGCAGTTGTTGATGAATGTCTGTAGTTTGTTGAAATTGCCTTTCGTAACGTGACTAGGCATATGTAACACATATCCTAGCTGTCTGAGTTGATGAAGTTTCACAATCATGATGAGACTATAGATGACGTGATTTGATGAAAGTCTAGTACTCATTGGTTACTCACTTCCAGAGGGGATTCCTGAAATTCTAATTTGTAAAGCACTAAGCGTACTCTTTGACTCGATACCAATCAATAGCCGTCTATATACTGTCCGAGTGAATGGATCTATAAAATCTAGGAGAGATCCTGAGACCAACCTATGCCTATTCGTAATCTCCGCCCACGTGTTAACCGACTGCAGTTCGGATGATGCTACGTAAAGCATAGGGTTTATATACAGTTATATTGGTAAGCGATTTCAATAATTAAGTAGTAAAGGTAAGCTCGACGGAAAGACATCTTGGAAGCGTCTACGGAATCCCATACCAACGAACTGGTAGCGATAATCGTCTGTTGCAGTTTTGTCCTGACAATCACTTGTTTCCGGTTAGGACTGACTAAGCATACAAACAAATACTGTTTCACATGACATCTGCATATATATTGGTATAAGCCATCGTTGGAGAACCTCACCTGGTTAACTAGTTCACTAGTTACTAGCCGGTCCTAAACCCGGATAAAGAGAGAAGGTTGAACATAGGGCTAGCAACCCTACGCCGTAAAACCAATCCATTCGCTAAATAAACTTCAAAACACGAAGAAAATATAAAATAAAAATAAACTTATTCCTCTCTGAAATTGGAGAGACGAAATGACGCCGGTTGGTGAAAGCCTTCGGGAAGCCAATTGGCCGATGTGTCTTCTCTCCCTCGATGAAACAGAAATTAAACATGGGGACATGGAATGTCCACACCATGTATGAAACTAACAAGGCTGCCCAAATTGAAAAAAAGAGATGAGAGGGTATGGCATGAAAGTGCTTGGAATCTGTGAAAGCTGATGGAATGGAAGTGGACTCTCCAAACTGTCAACTGGAGAATCAATAATCTACTCCACTGTTGTCATGCAGACGAGTGGCTATCATGATGTTTCCAAGAGCATCGAAGTCCCCCATGCAGTGGGAACCAATCTCCTCCTGCGGGATCATGACAGCAAGGTTTAACTCAAAAGGAAGGAAGGAAAGTCACAACCATATAATGCTACGCTGTGCACCTACAAATAATGTAGATGAAGAGAAGAAGGAGGAAATCTACAGACAATTGCAATCAACACTGGACAAGACCTCAGTTAGTGACATCAAAATTGTAATGGGCAACATGAATGTCAAACTGGGAGCAGACAACACAGGAAGAGAACTAACCATGGGTCGAGAAGCTCTCGGTGGAGTGAACGAGAATGGAGAATTGTTTGCAGAATTCTGTGCATTCAACGATTTCGTAATTGGAGGCGGTGTGTTCAAGCACAAGGATATCCACAAAGCGGCATGGATTTCACCAGATGGACACACTAAAAATCAGATCGACTTTATCTCAATCTGAAGAAAGTGGAGACGCAGCCTACTGGACACAAGGTCAAGAAGAGGAGCAGATGTAGGTTCGGACTACTCACTATTTAGTGCAAGGAACCTTCAAATCAAGTTGAAAGCCTTCACAGAATTCGGTGATAGGCGACAGATCAAGTTGAACACCTAGAACAGAAAGTGAACTGAAGGACGAAACTACAATGAACATCTTCACGTCAGTCATTAGGACAAAATAGGAGATATCGAGCAACATCCTTGAAGAAACCTGTGTGGATCAACACTGGAACTCTTTGAAAGATATGTGGAAAGAAACCTGCATAACCGTATTAGGGGGGAAGAAAAAACCGGACAAGTAATGGATATCGACGGACACATGAAAGCCGATAGAGGATGGAGAGGAAGGTGATGAAGCAGAAGATAAACCAGTGCAAGGATACACAACGAATGGAAGAACTGAGCACAACGTATAAAACACTGGACAAAGAAGTGAAGAAGAGTGCACGGAAAAACAAAGACACTTCTACGACACACTGGCAAGTGAAGCAGAACAGGCTGCAGGTACGAGAAACAGACCTGACAACACTGTATCAAATAACCAGGTTACCATCCGGGAAGAGATCAATACAGACGAAACCAATGAAAGATTTTGAAGGAAACTTTCTTACTAAAAAGGAGAAACAAAGGAAACAATGGGCCAACCACTTCAAAAAACTCTTGAATCGACCACCACCTGCAACGCGTTCAGATATACACCACCGGCGACGGCAGTACTACCAGTGAACACAGGCCCTCCGACAAAAGCAGAAGTCCTGAATGCTATAAAACTGCTGAAATCCGAAAAAGCATCAAGACCAGATGGAATTCATCCAGAAGCACTGAAAACAGATGCAGAGATAACAGCGAACATGCTCACACCACTATTGCAGAAGGTCCGGAAGGAAGGAAAGGTACCTTTCGATTGGAAGAAGGGCTTACTTGTCAAACTCCCAAAAAAGGGAGACCTTAGCCTTTGCAAGAACTGACGAGGAATCATGCTCCTGTCCACCCAAAGCAAAATATTATGCCGCATCATCCTGGTGAGACTAAAGGATGCAATGGATTCGAAAATATGACTGGAACAGGCTGGCTGGATTCAGGAAGAACAAATCATGTGGCGATTAAATTGCAACGCCACGCTACACATCATCATAGAACGTAGTATAGAATAGCAGTCAACTCTCTACCTCAACTTCGTTGACTTTGAAAAGGCGTTCGACAGCGTCGACCGAGAAGTAATTTGACAGGCAGCAGCTTCAACACTGCGGAGTGCTACAAACCTTTATCAATCTCATTCAACAGCTTTGTGAAGACGCTACATGCCAAGTGATTGAGAGTGGAAAGCTGAGTTATGCCTTTGAAGTGAAGACAGGGTAGAATAAGACGAGGTTGCTGTCTACTATCACCAATGATCTTCCTGATTGTAGTCGACTGGATGATGCAAGAGCGAGATGGTCATACGCTGCTTTACCGATGAAAAGAGTCTAGATGATTTGGATTTCGCCCCGATGATGATTTATGTCTAATATCGCACAAACTGGAAGATGTACAGGCGAAAAGTAACAAGTTGACGGAAGAGGCAGGGTAGCGAAGTTGGGACTTCAAGTGAATGTGGAGAAGACAGAGGTTATCAAGATATCCAATTAACAACAAGAAGCACTGAAAAAACCATTCGGAAACACTAAGCGCCAGTGGAATGCAAAAGGTAAACGACGAGTTGGGCGTCCGAGAGTGACATGGAAGATATCATGTGCGGAAGAAATGAAAGCTTGTGGTCAGTGGTGGAGCCAGATTGAAAGGACTGCAGAGAACAGAGTGAAATGGCTATGTGCTACTGAAACCCTATTTTCCAGTAGGCATAAAAGGGACAAATAATAATCGGTGGAGGATTGTTGTTCCTTTACCTGTGTGAACTTCGATCACTCGTTGATATGGGTTCGTCTATGTCTTCAGCTTATTGGTCGATGAAAATAGTTAACGGTTATGCTTGAATGTACTTGATTGAACTTCGAAAACACCAAGAGTATAGTTAGAGAGGAGATAGTTAGGTACTTTTCTGAATATGACACCTGATGTAACGGTTGGTAATGTACATCTAGAGATTATATATATATATATATATATATATATATATATATATATATATATATATATATATATAGAGAGAGAGAGAGAGAGAGAGAGAGAGAGAGAGAAGGAGATTATATCTTATGTGAACGTTTAACTTAGCGCGCCTAATATTAATGTTACTATTAAGTTACTCAATTGCTCACAAAACATTTTTCAATTTATTTTTTTGTTTTCATTCACCTTGTCATTAGTCTTCTCCGAATGCACCAAATGTATATATAGACCATTCAAATTCATCTGTTGAATTTCGTGATGTAAAATTTGCATACTATTCGAGAGATCCTAAAAAATCCCAATCGAAACCTGATAAATTTATCTGTGATGGATTAAATTTTAAAGTAAGATAATGTATAATGATATTGATAAGTTTTTTCTTTCAAATATAGTGATCCAAATTGATGATATATATCACTGTGGTTTTTGAAATACGGTTGAAAATGTCACTATTCATACCTCCAACAGGACACATACATACACACACAATTACCCAGAAATATAAACTTATCAAGTAGGTGGAAAAAGCTTACCACTGAGGGTGAGCGGAAAGGGAACACAAACTTTTGCCAATTTATACAAGAGTAATTTGCACTCGGGAGGATATGTGTAACACACGTCCAAGTCATCCATCGAATCCGGTGTTTCCAGATGACTTCACTTATTGAATAACCATCTACATCATACCCAAACATACGCTATCGTACCTCAGAATTATTATTTACATCATGTTGCCACTAGATACGAACTATTCTACGGAGACAATGATGATCAAACACACAGAGTCGTCGCATATCCTCAGATCGGAGAGGTCATATTTCAGATGCGTAGGGCAGAACCACTCGCATCGAAGTGTTGTAAACCCCGAAGTTTTACAGTCAGATTAACGTCACGAGGGATTAAAGGTGGCCCAGATTGACAGATGCAACTGTGGTTTTCGAAATTCGGTTGGGACTTCCACCAATCAATCAAATATCCAGATACATTGACTTTTCAGCTAGTTCGAGGATGAGCGAGGAAACATGCTTCTACCAATCTTACAAGAGTACAAGAGTGCACTTTAATGGTCCAAAGCACAAAGCACACTTACAGACATTATTCACGCTTACTGATTACAGTGTTCAACAAAGCAACACATTTCGGTTGCCAAAGAGAGAGAGAGAGAGAAAGAGAAACATGCCATCAATTGACGTTTACTCTCTGAACACTTGTTTGATAGTACTTTAAATGATGCCACTGTCTTGTATTATCAGAATACTATTTCTAGTTTCAACAAAGGTGATAAAGTATGTTCACTTCGGCCTTGGTTAGATAAGACATCTGCCTTTAATCCTGTTCCTAGACGACTCTTGGTTAAATAACCTTGTCATTGTTCATACTGAGGCATAGGTTTCAAACTGGCTGAAAGTGAACAGTATACTGTCGATAAAGGGAATCATTTCACATCATTGTTTGATGAAGTCGGTGGGTTTCAAGGAGTAGTACTTGTTCTACTTCTCGTGTCATTCTTCTTTCATGACTCACCTTATTCTGTTGAAAGTAATTTTGATTAGAGGTATGCTGATGACTTGACAGTTTGTCTCCCAATTATTTCTCACTTACTTATATTACTCTCAATTGAATGGTTTCTTATCTGAAAATAACCAGTGGTCTGATCTCTTCTCAACGTCCCACGGTTGATTTTAGCCTCATCTGTAACCCAAAACTTGTGTGAGATGTTTATTTTTCACGACTCCTGTTATATTTTGTTGTAAAGTAGATAGAGGGTTTATAAATCTGTCAGTAAAGTGAGTGTTGTGCCTCTGGTCCAACTGATCAACAAACAACACGATAGTTGACAGACATTGAAATTCTAGTCAGTCAGGTATATGATACTGAGCATTCCCTTTATTCCCTAGTTCTCCCCTTGTATTTATTACCTCCTCATGGGAGGAAAAGAAGAAATAACACCAGTCTGTACCATCGTACAACTGAATACAAGAAATCAACTGTGCATTGCCTTACCCTGCACACATATTGTACGAGGAATAGAATGATCCAATAATTAACATTATTCGAAATGCTGTAAAGGTGTATATTTTTGCTGAGAATTGCCTATTATACCGAAACATTGTTCAAACTGAAGTGATTATCATCTTGGAAGTGTGAATCTATTGAAGGATTATTCGTACAGTTCTCTCTGCATTGTCAATGTATGAGAGAGGTTGGCGATTATCATAAGGTCTTGACAAAAAGGGGATGATATGAAGTGAATTGCTTCCAGTGAATTATCGTTAACAAAACTAACTGTGGTAACAGATGACACAGTTAGTTGGTATTTCAACCAACCTGGTATATACACATGATGCCCTATGTTCCACAAGGAACTCTAGGGACAAATAGTAAGAATAATACACCGTTAATTGCCTTACATTCATCATCGTCAATCGCATGATATTATCAGGCGTTAACACTGCATTGCGGTCTAATTTGCCTCACGTTGTATGAACGCATCAAGCTACAAAGCACTGAGATAAAGAGGAATCTGTTAAGAGCAGGAGAAACTTACTGTTATGATGTGAAGTCGTGAGAAGAAATGAAAATACTTAACGGTTGATAGTTGAGGAATATAGGCATCTTCAGCAGTTTGTAAGGGAGAGAGGAAGGACGAACACGAAACATACCACTTTGGATGAAAATGATAACTGTGCCACTTAAATCGATTCTGAGCGATGTCACTTGGAGTCATGTGGAGGACTATTGAAAACCTGGAAGCACTAGTTGGCCGTTTCCTTCTGTTACGGGACTCCTAAGCAATGCACACCCAGGACCTTCACATGCCATGGCCAGCACGTTACCACTGAGATAGCCAGTGTTTCGGAATCCAATAGATTATATTTCCAACTTACGTTAGTTCACAATATAGTGCGATTGGTGCCCAGTGTTATCGTTCAGTATTTGTCCTCACGGCCACCAGTTTGCCCCATCGATGATGACTCAGTGACTCATTGGTAACATGAAGGCCACGGAACCTAAAAGTCCTAGCGATGTCATTGATGCGCACTGCTGAAGAGTCCCGTACTGGGACGAAAAATATCAGTAAATACCCACAAACCTCCAAATTAAATTGAATTGTGTGATACAGAGTGAAATAGGCGTCATTTCCAAGCTTTCATCTAGTCTACGATGTTAAAGGTAATATCCTTCGGGACACCGTCGTTCCAAGTCAACCTGTATGATACAAGAAAAAACAATGAAACTATACCTGTCGCTCTAGAATTGGCTATCCTGACTCAGTGGTCTAGTGGATTACACTTAGGCGTCCCGAGTTCGAATCCCGGCGGGAAGAACATCACTTACTGGAAGGATGACACATCCAGCTGACGAGCCCCAAACAAGACGAAACGTGCATCAAACTGAATTCCACTGCTAGGCAGTATTTATTATTGACATTTCCTATGGACTAGATCTTAGAACAAAGACACGCTTATCGATATCTATTGTGTTTCTTGGTTTCTAGGCTGGATTCTGTTCTCTTCATCCTTATATCATTATCTCATGCTGAAAGACATGCTTGCATACTCAAACATTGGTGACACCATCAAAGTTTACAGTGAGCTCTTGGTTTGTCTCCACAAGTCGAATGATGTTCGTCGAAGATATTCTCTTTCTCTGCCTATTTTCAACTTTTTTTCACAGATACGATATGGAATTGTGGCTCACTGGTTTATAGAGATAACTTTCAATGATTCGATCTCTTGTTCGAGTCCCGCGCCACCTATTGAAGTTTAGGCAACCAGATATTAGCATCATTAGTCCTCGTATAATAGGTGTGTGTGTGTGTGTTGCTGATAGCCTGCCTACTACAAGAATGTTCACAAGGTGGCTGAATGGATTTTTATATTTTTTTTCATCTGATCTAACATAGACTGCTATCTAGTGATATTCAAACATTCAAAGAAAATGTATGTTACCATATACAAGGTGTACAAACTCCAATCATCATCAATGGGAGGAACTTAAAGGAAGTAGCCTCTTTCACCTATCTAGGCAGTACTGTTTCAACTACAGACGAGGACTTCAAAGCCAGGCAGGATTGAAAAAGCAAGACAGGAGTTCATTAGCCTGAAATCAGTGTGGAGATCTTCTGTACTCAGTATGTGGAACAAGATCCGGATTTTCAACGTCAATACCAGTCAAGTCAGTGCTTTTGTATGGCTCAGAGACTTGGTGCGTTATGAAAGGGATTTCCAACAAACTACAGACATTCATCAACAACTGCCTACGCTGGCTCGTTAGTGAAGCTGAGATGGCCAGAATAATAAGAATAAGCAACAAGGAACTCTAGCTGGCTGGCTGGCTGGCAACGAACCAACGAAACAAGAACCTATCGCTGAACAAATATGCAGTGGAAGGAAGTGAAGATGGATTGAGCCATGCACTGAGAAGGCTGACTGGGGACATCACGTGCCAGGCCAGGTGCTCGAGTGGAACCTCGATGGGAAGCGACGAGTTGGGCGTCCTAGGTTAGGGTGACATTGAGGAGATTGTGCGAGGAAGAAATGAGAGCTTGTGGGGAGCCGAGAAGAGAGTGCACTGTAGACGTACTACTGAAGCCCTATGTTCCATTAGGACTAATAGTAATAATATACAAGGTGTAGGGATTGACAAAATGAGGAGTTTAAACGAAGCAAAATGAACTAGACTTGCAAAATAAATATCACTTGATTTCATGAAGTTTCTTCAGTTGAAAATTACAATTATCACTCGAACAAAGTGACATAATGTGAATGATGCTTACGCAATAAGACACAGAATGAATTCGAATAGCGATTATTCTTCTACGCATAACCTTTTACTTCACCATGTTATGAGCATATAAAATCTCAAGGTCAAAAGTTGAATAATTTATTTTGATTAGTCAACTGTAGGATGAAATTACCCAATAAGCTTTTTCTTGACTACACAGTTTGACATAAAATAAAAATTGAAATCCAATGACTTTTACCTTTGTGGTTGATTGATGATTTAAAATATTGATTTCTATTACAGTCACCTTTTATCGTATTTGACATTTACAAGATTGGCATAAACTCTTATTCAAAGAGTTTACTCAATTAAAATGAAACAAGGTTGAACAACAGAGTTGCTATGAAGGTGGAATTGACCTAAGTCGGTTTTCTGTATGTATAGTCAAATCCAGTTGAAAGTGTTTCATAGCAATCATTTCCATGATAAATATTTTAGTGGATTCATCCTCTATGAGACAATATTTTTCAATTATCTTCACCTTTTCCTTTAACTAGTTCATGGAACTTAAGTTTCTAGTTCTAGTGCCATAGTGTTTTGATTTAGTTCACTGTCTATGGTGCTGCCGTGGTATTTTGATTGTCTATTTATTAAGGGTCGAGTAACACTGTCCTACAGTCGACTCTGTTCTGCTGTATGACTGTGAAACATCCCCATCAAAGGTAGAAGACATGTGAAGGCTTCAGGTGTTTGACCATTGTTGACTTCGTTGCATAGGCCGTGTTTTATGGTGTCACCATATGAGTAACGCGAAAGTCAGGTTGTGAACCTTCATCGACTGAGATGGCTGAAATATGTATTACGTATGCGTATCTGCCATCTGCCTAGTCACCCAATGATGACCGAATTACGTTCAGGCTGGAAGAGGGCTCAAGGCGACCAGATTGAAACCTGGCATCAATTCATGACTATTGGTTTCAGCTATGTAGAGTGATTCAGACTAGCCGGATTGGATCTGCGGTACAAGAGAAAACAGTGGTTGGAAACTTTAAGTTATGAGAACCAATGTCAGCGGCGCAGATGTATTCACACTTTCACTTCATGTTATTTGCTTAACTGAATTCAGTATTTTCTCATTCCTCTCTCTCTTCCTCCTATCTTCACTGCTTCTTCTCTTTTTCTTTTCTTTATCTTTCATCTTGTGGCTAGTTTGTTTTTGCTGATATTATAGTATGGCACCTTCGATCGTTACGCTCACAGTACTGCTTGTTAATATTGATTGAATGGTTGATCGACACTTTTTTATGATTATCAGTTTGATTATGTAAGATAGCAGCCGTGATTTGGCAGACTGCTTATTGATACTGGGTGATGATTGAAAGTGAAATAAAAATTTTGGTCAGCAGTTGAACTCTCGATTATACAGTTTAGTATGAGTACGATCAAGTGGTAGTAGTTAACACTTCACGAGTTCACATGATATTCGAAGAAAACAACCGTTGATGATTGAAGTAAAATAATAATCTGGTCATCAGTCAAACCTTGTAGCTGAGTTGATAGATCACCGGCCTGAAAACTCAGTAGTCGCTGGTTCGAGTCCGGCGGTCCACTGTGCTATCTGCGGGATGGAGTCAGTTTATTCAGGTAACTAGATAAAATGTGATTGCATTATAGACAACAGTCATGTGTTAACTAACCGCGGTCAGTCAATCAGTGATACTAAAACAATTCATACAGTAGTGATTCTGATTGGCATTTTACATTGTCTTGGCCTTATTTTCATCTGACTAACTGATTGTGCAGCAGTTGTTTCATCATGTATTGACATCAGTTGAAGGAACACTGGAAACCTGGAAGGGCTGAAGATCTATTTTGTCCTAGTAGGACCCCTTCAACAGTGCACACCCATGACTCCACCAGTTTGCTACCAACATACAGATGACTGTAGTACAACAATATGCCGTATTCCGTGGTGTCACCACACCATATGAGTAATGCACAAGTCAGGTATAGAGTTTTAGCGAGGGAGTAGAGATAAATCAGTTGACGACGAGGTTATGAACCGTCATCGATTGAGATGGTTGGGACACGTACTACGTATGCCTAGTCACCGATTGCCTCCTCACACAATGTTGGCTGAGGTGGGTCCAGGCTGGAAAAAGGCCCGAGGTGGCCAGACTAAAACATGGCACCAATGTATGAAGTCTCCGACTGTTGGTTTAAGCCATGTAGGACGATGCACACTAGATGGTGGGGGTCAGCGGGACAAGAGGAACCAGTGGTTGGAGATCCTAGGTGATATGGCTCAGAGTGGATGTCAGTGGCGCGGATGTATACACACATTATCCTCATCTTAACAACGCCATACCGAATCTCACCATTTTGTCACTCCTCTTTCCTTTCTTCTCGTACTTTATATTTCTTTTGACTGCATTCACTTATCTTCATCCTTCACCTCACTACCTTTTTACTTGATGTGCTGATATGAGGTGTGGCAAGTTGGACCGTTACGCAGTAATGCATGGTCCTATGTTGATAATGATAATGATGATGATATATATCACTTGCTTTTACCATTTCACATTTTAGGTTGAACCTGGTCAACGTGTAGCTATTGTTGGCGGAAGTGGATCTGGAAAGTCGACAATAGTTCGACTTGCCTATCGATTCTTTGATGTATCCAGTGGTAGTGTTCTAATCGGTGGTAAAGATGTTCGTTCAGTAAATTTGGAGAGTTTACGACGTTCTATAGCAGTAATACCTCAGGTAGTCACTTGTATAGAAATACTTGGAAATTAATTATATGTATATATATATGTATATATATATATATATATGTATATATATATATATATGTATATATATATATATATATATATATATATATATATATATATATATATATATATATATATATATATATATACTGAACTTGTTAATAAGAGACGTCTCATAGTTGAGTTGGTAGGACAGTGAGGTGGAAGTAGAATTATGGTAAATTTTGTAATTCGTTACAAACTTTTGGATCAGTGTAAAACTTTACATGAGTTGACCTCTGACCTTTCTGTCGTCTATCATTTTTCTTATTGGTTGATAGATTGGGTCTATGTCTATACATCTGTTGATTGCTGACTGACTGAGCTGAATGCCAAGCTTCTAGGAATTCTCTGATATTCTTAGTGTTTCCTCTCTTCATCCAAAATTTCTACATTATCGAAATTGAATTCATGTCCATAGTTTTTGTTATCCATGTGCATTGAAATGAGTGATGAAATGTCGTGTGTGACGTTTAATAGCCATGTTCACATGTAGACGAAGGTGAAGGCGGGCGGCCACTTTGTCCAATGTAGTGTTGACTACAGTTATTCCAGTTGATTTTGTAAATGATATTCGGTTTGTCTTCTTTGGTTATTGCATCCTTTGGTCTGCATAATAGGGTAGGGTTTGTAGGGAATTTGTTGGTTTATGAACCACATCAATTCCAAGTGGTTTGCCTCAGTAATCTTGTCATGATTTCTGATATATTCTTTATGTATGGTAGGACGATGTGTTTCTTGATTTCTGTGGATGACTTTGTAATTGATGATGCATGGGGTAGGCATCTTCTGATAACGTTTCGTGGGTAGCCGTTCTTCTTTAGAATGGACATCAAGTAATTTTCTTTGTTTCTCTGTGAAGTTGTACTGCAGTGTGTTCTCGCTCTTTTGAATAGAGTCTGTACGCAACTGATTTTGTGTGTCGTTGGGTTGTTGCTATTGTAGTTGAAGATTCGGTCAGTCAGTGTGTGTTGGCTTCCTGTACACTTGGGTTTCCAGCTTTCTGGCATTTATCCTACTGACTAGAACATCCAGGAATGGTAGTTGGTTGTTTAACTTTTTCTCCATTGTAAATTTGATGTCATTGAAAACGCTGATGATCGAACTGTGAGTGTTTTCTATATCATCTTTCTTAATGATGACAAAAGTGTCATGCACATAGCGAATCCAGAATTTTGGTTTAATCACAGGTGGGGTGATGGCTTCCAATCTCTGCATCACTGCTTCTGGCATTAATCCGGATATCGCTGATCCCATTGGAGTTCCTTTCATCTGTTTGTATATCTTGTCGTTGAATTGGAAGTATGTTGTCATACAAAGGTGGATGAGTTCCATCAGAGTTGAACATTTGAGTTTTGTGCGTTGTGCGTTGATCAGGAGGGATATCGTTTCCTTGGCCAATACGGGTTCGATGGATGTGTATAGTGCTGTAACATCGAAGGATATCATTAATTCATCGTTTTCTATGTAAGAATTCTGTTGGTGACTTGATGGAATGTCCGCATGATTGAACGAGGTGTTTCAATTTTCTCAAAAGTTCTCTTCATATGTTGTATGTTGGAGTTCCCGGAAGTGAGACTATTGGTCGTAGAGGGATATCGGGTTTGTGTAGTTTTGGTCTGCTGTAGAATCGAGGAAGGATAGATTCATTCGATTTCATTCTCCATTCGTCTTGCTTCATTATTTCTAATGCTTTGAAGAGTTTGTTCAAGGTTTTATTGACTAGTTGTCAAACTTTTGGATAGGGTTGGTTTCAGGTGGTTGATACATATTTTCGTCTTTGAGTAACTCCTCTGCTTTCCTGATGTAGTCTTCTTTGTCCATGACTACTGTAGTGCATCCTTTGTCTGCTGGAAGTGTAAGGATGTCTTTCCTATTTTTCAGTCTTTTTTATGTTTTCTGTTCTTGAGTGTTCATTTGAGCATGATGTCTCCTCTACCTGGTTAATGGTACTATTGTTTGCCGTATTTCTTGTTGAGTGACCTCATTTAATCCTGATGTTCTAAGTGATGACTGTAATGCCTTGAAGGATTCTGGTTTCGAGGCATCTCATGTGTTGTAATTCAACCATTTCTGATGAAGAAGTTCTTCCAATTTGTTGGTGGTTGTTTTGATAAGTTGGCAAAGCAGAAGTTTGTTCCTTCCATTGTAAATACTTTTGAGGTTTTGAGCAACTCTTTCCTGAGGACTTTTCTTCATCGTTCCTGCTTGATTTTTCACTTGTTATTGTGCGTCAATGAATTCACTGCTATAGCTAAGTTGTTTTCTAGATTTCTGATCTTATTCGGGTCTTATTCTACATTTTGCTAAATTCCTATGTTCGACTATTCTAAGTGACTGTGACTGGCTAGTTTAACCTATGTACTTGACCTGACTCACAGTCATTTCATGGAATTTGATAGATTAGATTATTTTGCTTAATTGATTATCCGTGATCTCCACAATCTTGAAGTTTCAGGACAATATATGTAAAAAAAACAGCAATGGGATCACCAATATCCCCATTCGTAGCAGATATAATCCTGCATCTAAAATACGTTAAAGATATGTGGATGATACATTCAGCACTGTGTTGAAAACGGAACATATGGACAATTTTCTCATACATATAAACTCAATAGTAGACACACAATCCAATTCACTTACGTGGAGGTAGAAAATGAACAAAGAGAATTACCTATATTGGATTGCAGAATAAAACGAAGGACAAACGGTGGTTTAGAGTTGGCCGTCTACAAAAACCAATGCATTCTAACAGGTATCTAGACTCCAAGTCATCTCATCTAGTGTCAAGTTTAGTCAAATGTCTAAACAAGGAAATGGAGCACATAAAAGAAGTGGTAACAATTAATGAATATCCTCAACAGTTTATTAAGAAATTCGTGGAGATATAACAGAAACGAAAAAGATAACAGTTACTCGAGTACGAGTTATAACGACAACGTGAGTACAAGGAGTTCACAGCCTCTGTTATGTTATCCAGATGGAATTTCCACCAGAAGCACTGAAAACAGACGCAGAGAAAACAATAGACATGCTCACACCAGTAATGCAGAAGGTTTAGGAGGAAGGAAAGGTATCTGCAGATTGGAAGAAGGGAGACCTAAGTGTTTGCAAGAACTGGCGAGGAATCATGCTGCTGTTCACCCCAAGCAAAATATTAAGCCGCATCATCCTGGAGCGACTAAAGGATGCACTGGATTCAAAAGTATGACCGGAACAGGCTGGCTGGATTCAGGAAGAACAAATCATGTGCGGACCAAATTGCAACGCCACGCTACACATCATCATAGAATAGAGCATAGAATGGCAGTCAACCCTCTACCTCAACTTTATCGACTTTGAAAAGGCGTTCGATAGCGTCGACCGAGAAGTAATTTGACAGGCAGCAGCTTCAACACTGCGGAGTGCTACAAACCTTTATCAATCTCATTCAACAGCTTTGTGAAGACGCTACATGCCAAGTGATTGAGAGTGGAAAGCTGAGTTATGCCTTTGAAGTGAAGACAGGGTAGAATAAGACGAGGTTGCTGTCTACTATCACCAATGATCTTCCTGATTGTAGTCGACTGGATGATGCAAGAGCGAGATGGTCATACGCTGCTTTACCGATGAAAAGAGTCTAGATGATTTGGATTTCGCCCCGATGATGATTTATGTCTAATATCGCACAAACTGGAAGATGTACAGGCGAAAAGTAACAAGTTGACGGAAGAGGCAGGGTAGCGAAGTTGGGACTTCAAGTGAATATGGAGTAGACAGAGATGATGAAGATACCCAACCAACAACAGCATCTACAACAAGCACCAATCACCATTAACGGTAGAAACCTGAAGGAAGCTGTCTCTTTCACCTACCTAGCCAGGGCAGGTGGAGGCAACACAAACGAAGATGTCAGAATCTGGATCGGAAAAGCAAGACAGGATTTCATTAATCTGCAGTAAGTGTGGAGATCTACTACACTCAGCATAAAGCGTGAACAGGATCTGGATTTTCAACACTAATTCAGTCAAGTCAGTGCTTCTATATGGTTCAGAGACTTGGCGCGTTACGAAAGACATATCCAACAAACTACAGACACTCATCAACAGCTGCCGTCTACGCTGGCTTGATACTAAAGATCAGATGGCCAGAATAATAAGAATAAGCAACAATGAACTATGGCTGGCTGGTGACGAACCAACGAAGCAAGAACCTATCGCTGAACAAATATGTAGTGGAAGGAAGTGAAGATGGATTGAACATGCACTGAGAAGGCTGACTGGGGACATCACGTGCCAGGTCAGGCCGTCAAGTGGAATCCAAAGAGGAAGCTACGAGTGGGGCGCAGAGAACAGAGTGCAATTGAGGCGTGCCACTGAAGCCTTATGTTCCACTAGAAACCGAAGGGAATAATAATAATAATAATAATAATATAATATTGTGTTTCTTTTTAAGGAAGGCATATCAGAAACTTTATGTAGGATCCTCATCAAGATTGGAATTTGGGTGACATTTAAACCTGCGAACTAACTAGGTGTCTATGAAACATTGTTCACATTTAATAGAATCATTTATTTCAATTTGTTATTCATCGAAGACTGACATCAGTTGGAGGAACAAAGGAAACCTGAGAGCACTGGACAGCTGTTTCGTCCTAGTATGGGACTCCTCAGCAGTGCACACCCACGACCCCACCAGCAGGAATCGAATCATTTATGCTGCGTATGACAAACCACCGCTTACTTTAATATGCAATCCTATAGAAAGCTGGACTTGGTTAGAAGATAGTTCAAAGTAGCCAAATGAAGTCGTAGTGACACTAATCGATGATATCCTAACCGCGTGAGAAGATGAAGTTTAGCTATATATGTATATATATATATATATATATATATATATATATATATATATATATATATATATATATATATATATATATAGTGAAATTCAGCTTTTTAACATAATTTGTCTTCAATCCTGATTTGATGGTGTTACTTTCTGATTGCATTATAATAGGATACAGTCCTTTTTCATAATACAATATTCTACAACCTTCAATATGGTAACTTGAAAGCAACTCGTGAAGAAGTTTATGAAGCTGCTCGTTTAGCAGATATAGGAAATGCAATTGAACGAATGCCACATGGATATGATACTCAAGTAAGTAAATCATTCTTAGGTATTGTTATTTAGTGTTTGGTGTTCTGTGAGCTTTACGTTTTTTAACTTTTTATTACCTCTAACAGTATCTTGATGTAGTTAATTGATTTATTGATAAGCTAAGTAAGATATCAAGTATCATGTCACCAAGAATCAGTTCTCATCCACTGATTCCTATCGTGGACCCTCAGCTAGACAACTAGTCCTCATTTTCCTATATAGTTCAAATCCAGTAGTCAGTGATTTCATCGATTAGTCTAGCTAACCTAAACCATCTCTCATCTCTTTTCATATAGGATAGTGCAGCAAGGTAGGCGGTGAATCGTTATACGTGACACATTTCCATTTCGAATCAAAAATGATACCTGATTTCAATGAATCGTTGCATACCTCTTTCAATATTCATTAACAACTGGACTCGAATACATGATACTACAACCAGCTGATGGTTGGTTGGAATCACTCACTAATACCAAATCAGTGCTTCTATATGATTCATAAACTTGGCGTGTTACGAAAAGCATTTCCAACAACCTATAGATATTCATCAATAGCTGCCCTACGCTCGATACTGAAGACCAGATGGCCAGAAAGAATAGGTAACAAGGAAATCTGGTTGGCAATGAACCAACGAAGAACCTATCACTCAATAAATATGCAGAAGGAAATGGAGATGGATTGGGCATTCACTGAGAAGGCCGACTGGGACATCACGCTCCAGGTCCTCGAGTGGAATCCAAATGAGAAACGACGAGTTGGGCCTCCGAGGTGAGGGTAAGATGGAGGAGATGGTATGAAGAAGAAATGAAAGCTTTTGGGCAGTTGTGGAGCCAGGTTGAAAAGACTGCAGAGATGGTAGTGAAAATGGCGGCATGCTACTGAATCCCTATGTTCCACTGGGAACTCAAGGGACAAATAATCGTAATAATAATTACCAGCTACCGACTGCTGTTGTTTAAATCCCATTCTTACTCTGCTGTTCCTGAGTTCACTTTGTCTTTAGTAGTCACTAAATAGCCATTCTAAGCGTATCGATGTCTTCACTTACAAGAAACCATGAAAACTATGAGTGAACCCAATTTAATGTTAGGCAAACATGCTGATAATAAATTCTTAGTGTGTCCACGAGTTTTTTTTTTATCACTTTTGTTGGTGGAAGAACATTAGGAATGTGGGAGCACTGGGCAGCTGTTTCGTTTAACTAGTATGGGACCCCTCAGCAATGTGCACCGATGACCCTTTCATGGACCCTCAGGTTCCTGCTGCTATCACGTTACCGTTGAAAGCTACCCACTGAGTCGGAATCCAATGGTTCATACTTCCCACTTCTGTCAGTTCACGAATATAGCGCGACTTACATCCAAAGTCATGGTTGAGTAATTGTTCTCATGTTCAACTTGGTTGATTCCACTGTTTACAACTTCACATTGGAACTTCAAGAATCACCTCTGGAAGCTAGTCACCAATAAGCACTAGAATAATTCTAGCTGAAGGTTTGTGGAAGCCTATTAATTAGAATTCATCATGAACTGACATTAGTTAATGAAAGAACATTAGAAAACTGGAAGCATGATAGCTATCTCGTCTCAGTATGGGACCCCTCAGCTGGATGTACCTGCATTGCACTACAGTGGGTGATGTTGTTCCTACTGAAAATCGAACCTCGTTACCTATCGTTTCAAACGCTAAAACGTAATCTTTTGTTGGTAAATGAGCTCCTATACTGAGGTGGCTCTATAATGTTTGTATATTCATTGTATTGTGGTTTTCAATCTACTTATCTTTTATATAGGTTGGAGAACGTGGTCTCAAATTAAGTGGTGGTGAAAAACAACGAATAGCTATTGCTAGAGCTCTGTTAAAAAAGGCTCCAATTTTGATCTATGATGAAGCGACATCATCACTTGATACAATCACTGAACAGGTATGTTGTTTATAGATCTTAAATATGTATGTTGTGTATATTCATCAAGTTTCCTTTCATCTCCGAGACTCCAGTCAGCCAGGTAGTGTACATCTCCCCAAACAGCTCAAGACAACAATCAGCGACTTCATAGACCGGTGCCACGTCTTGATCTGGCCACGATGAACCCTCTTCTAACCTAATCTAACTTAACCCTAGTAAATCAGGTCCACGTAGGTGGAGACTCGGCATGCCTAGCACATGTCTAAGCCATCTTAATCGACTTACCTGTCTTGCCTAGTACCTTTCATCTAACCTCCATGTTGCTTATACGGTGATTTCACCAAAGGTGACCAATACTACGAAGATATCTGTGATCAAAACCGTGTGTTCACTTCATGTTTTTCTTTTACTTCCGAGGACCATGTCTAACAGCCGTACAACACAATGAAACGCACTGAAGCGGAGTATACTCATTCTTTGATAGATAGTCGGATATCTCATCAGTCGGCACCAAAGATGACGCATATTGACCAATCGCCTTCTGTTTCCTAGCTGAAATATCGTCATTGACCACCTGGTGTGAACTGATGCAACTTCTGAAGTAAGCGAAGTTGTCGAAATATTCCACCACTACACTGGAGATGGAATCGGTACTTATGCATACTGCTATGATTGTGAGCATATTACCTATCGAAGTTTCATGTTAACGCCTTTACTTTATTCTATTATCAAACTTAACCATTTGACATAGTTAGTAATTTGTTCGGTTCAAACACATGTCTGGATTTGATGTATAGTTTACGTGTTGTCAAAATAGTGGACCAATGCGCTCCTAACCTTTGAGTTAGGAGTCTTCCGGCCGATAGCTGCAACCTTCATGTAATGGTTATGCTTACATGTCACAACAAGGTCTTACGATGCCAGGAAAGTCTCTTGGATGGTGACAAGATGAAAGGGAGTCCCCGTCGTAGTATAAATTAATACACTGTGATGGGTGTCTGAGAGGAAAGGCTTTCTGGTGTCGGCTGTATGGGGTTTTTCCATTCGACGTTAGAACAACCGTACCTCGAAATAATATTCTCCAAAATGCCTCGAGCATATATCCCATCGGCTCTGCAGTCACATAAATCCTTTCCTCTTTCAGATACCTGATGAAGAAATAGCATTCCAAGGTGTGAAGAACCGCTCGATCGTTTCCTGTTGTACTCAGGTCCAAATCAAACAGAACCTACCCTCCTCAACTCTGTCTCCTCATTTGCCTTCATCTCCTGATACTAAAATTAGTCCTTTCAATCTGCAACCATTGTCAACGATGAAAGCCATCGAAACCTCATTCATAGTCTCCTTAGACCTGCCCCCCCCCATGGATTTCATGTAGGAGCTTCCAACGGCTCATAGAGAGTTATCATCAAAATTGAAGACAACTAGTGGTGTTCACCAGGGATGTCCACTGTCACCGTTTCTATTTAACTTCGTCATAGATGTAGTAGTGAAGACAACGTTAGACACGTCAGACTTCACAAGTTATCTAGTTGAATTCGAGTTCGCAGATAATATTGTCCTGCTATGTAAAGATGCTGACAAAATGGTTACGTTGATCATAAATCTGAGTATGTTTAGCTTGCTGCAGGATTTGCTTGTCGCAAATGCTCCCGTTTAATGATTGGGAGGGAGGTTGTAGACTGAATCGACCACTTCACTTACTTGAGAAGTCGTATCAGCCCGAACAGGTTAGTTGTTGACGAAAACTCCGTTTGGATACAGAAAGATCGTTCAGTAATTGCCAACTTGCATCGTTTGCTGTACCAGTTGGCGAGATATCCGATTATCTATCAAACGATGAGTATACGATGCTGCAGTTCGTTCTTCCCTGTTATACGCCTGTGAGACACGGCTGATGAAAGTAGGAAGACATGAAGCGGTGACAGAGTTATGATCATAGGCACCTTCGTAGTATTGGTTACTGTTAGTGGAGTCATTATGTCAACAGTGTTGAAGTCAGACACACAAATCGATTGAAATTGCCTATGCCAAGCCACTGCCTGCCTCCACTTACCATCCATTCTGGGGGAAGTTAAATGAGGTTGGAAAAGAATTCAGGGTGGACAGACCAAGAAATGGCATCAGTCGATATAGTCTTTGACTAAGTCATATGTCGCAGATGTATTCATTCCTTGACATATTCTGAAGCTTTAATATTTATAGTCACCGTTATCTTCAGGATGTTTATTGTCTCACAACTTTGTCTGCTGTGATATCACTCGTTTTCATTCCACCTGTTCTTTGTGTACTCATCATCATCATGATCAATATAGGACTAGACATTACGGTCCAACTGGCTACACCTCATATCAATACATCAAGGCAATAGAATGAAAGATGAATAGGAAAAGTAAACAAGAGGAGGAAGGAATGAGAAATTGATATAGACAATGTGTAGATTCTGAGCCGTATCATCTAGATTCTCCAACCGCTCACTCTTTTCTTTTGTCCCATGGACCCCAACCAGTTAGTCTGCATCGCCCTATATGGTTGAAACATCATCCAAATACAAATTGTTCCTCCAGGATTAGTCTTTAACAGTACCTCGGCTAACAATGGAGAGTGTAGTGGTTGAGTATGTCGATCACTTACTTCACTCACCTGGGAAGTAGGATCACCTCTGGTGGGTCAGTTGCCGATGAAATCTCTGCACGAATACAAAAGGCCCTATTGGCTTCTGCTAACTTACGCCACGTGTGTCGCCGCCGTGATATCTGATTGTCTATTAAGGGTCGCGTGTACTTCACACCAGTCAGGTCTGGTCTACTATATGGCTGTGAAATATGGTCATCGAAGGTGGAAGACATGAGGAGGCTTCAAGTATTTGACCACCGTTGCCTTCGTAGTATAGGCTGCATTCTGTGGTGTCACCACATGAATAACATAGAAGTCAGGTATAGAGTTTTAGAGAGAACAGGCAAATTAGTTGACATGGTTGTGAAGCTTTATCGACTTGGATAGTTAGGATATGTGTTACGTATGCCTAGTCGCCGTCTGCCTCGTCACACAATGTTGACCGAAGTAGGTTGAGGCTGGATTTACTGATATGAGCTGTGGTAAGTTGGATGGTTACACAGTTAATGCCTGGTCCTATGTTGATGGATGGTGATGATGATGATGATGATGATGACATGCCTGAAACTGACAGTCAAGCACTTCATCCATATACGTGTAAAACTTGTGCACTGTGGTAGAAATAAGCTCTATTCGATTTATAACACACGGTGAGTGATCTAGTATTATTTACTTGATGACGTTTCGAGCATAAATTATCATCGCTCATAATCATATCATTATGTAATCATACTCCAATTTCGACACTTGATTTTTATAGTTACGTCACTTTATATGACTTATTTTTCTTTGGAGCAAAATTTTCCATATCTTTGGTGTAGATAGGTGTTGCATCATTTCTATTACATGTGTTGGCTAGGTGTTGATTCGATGAACAAAGATTCAATAATCAATCTCTCTCTCTCTCTCCACCTAAGTATATTGGACTTAAGCACATTGGCTTCATCCAACCCACCTTAATGTGTGTTTGTGTGTTAATGCATGCATAACAATAGCCGAGGTTTTTTCTACATTATTCATCTTATTTAGGTATGTTATTCTATATTTAGATAAATTCCTATGTCCAGCTATTCTAACTGACCCCGACCGACTACTTTGACCTATATACTTGACCTTAGATTATTTTGCTGAATTGGTTCTATCGGATGGTTAAGCCAGTTGACAAAGTTTATCTCTGAGTGAGTTTATAGGCTTGAATACCACCCTAACTAATTTCAGCTGTGTTGAGGATTCTATGTAAAGTTTCTAATATCTCCTCCTTATAGGATAATACCATGGAGGCGGCTGTGAATTCCTTTTTTCTTGTCGGTAGTCAGTCTTTCCTCGAGAAGCCTAAAAGCTCAGCTGAGACGAAAGTACTCGAAAAAGGACTAAACTTTAACGTGACAATAGGTCATTCATCTAATCCCAAAAGATGTCATACCTAGCATAGAAGTAGCGTTTAAGTTCAGTGGATGCAGCAACAGCTGAACAGGTTAGAGCACAGTATGCGTTAACATTGAAAAGACAAAAGAAAAGATTGCGGAAGTTAACAAAACTTGAAAACTTAGCTCTGAATAGTCTACGGAATGACAATAATCTAGTAATTGTTAAGTCTGACAAAGGCAGACAGAGACAAACAGAGAAGACAGAGGTGATGAAGATATCCAACCAACAACAACAACAACAAGCCCTGATCACCGTCAACGGGAGAAACTTAAAGAAAGTAGCCTCTTTGACCTATCTAGGCAGCATTTTTTCAGCTACAGGCGGCACAGACGAGGACATTAAGGCCGGGATCGGAAAAGCAAGACAGGAGTTCATCAGCCTGAAACCAGTGTGGAGATCTTCTGTACTCAGTATGTGGAACAAGATCCGGATTTTCAACGTCAATACCAGTCAAGTCAGTGCTTCTGTATGGCTCAGAGACTTGGCGCGTTACGAAAGGCATTTTCAACAAACTACAGATATTCATCAACAACTGCCTACGCTCACTTGTTACTGAAAATGAGATCAGATAGCCAGAATAATAAGAATAAGCAACAAGGAACTCTGACTGGCTGGTGACGAACCAACGAAGCAAGAACCTATCGCTGAACAAATATGTAGTGAAAGGAAGTGAAGATGGATTGAACATGCACTGAGAAGGCTGACTGGGGACATCACGTGCCAGGCCAGGTGCTTGAGTGAAACCTCGATGGGAAGCGATGAGTTGGGCGTCCTAGGTTAGGGTGACATTGAGGAGATTGTGTGAGGAAGAAATGAGAGCTTGTAGGGAGTTATGGAACCAGGTTCAAAAGATTTTCGAGAAGAGAGTGCACTGTAGACGTCCTACTGAAGCGCTATGTTCCACTAGGAACCTAAGGGACAAATAATAATAATAATAATATGGACAAATTGGATTACTTCAACAAATTTAACGAGCATATCCAAACAGGACCATATGAAGAAATCAAGAAGCCCTTAGACAAGGTCATGAAAAAAATCTGGAAATCTACAGCCGATCTGATACACCGACTAAAGCCATCTCTAGGTGAGTCTTAACGGTTTAATTCAATTCCTAAAACCAATAATTCTATCAGAATTTATGGCACTATTAAGGTTCATAAACCAGGTTATCCCATCAGACCCATAGTGGACTGGACTTCAGAAATACCCCAGCATATGAACTGGCAAAGTACTTAGCTTCAATATTATGCCCTATTAGAAACCGTTCAAATTCAAGACTAGTAAACTCTTACGACTTAAAACTTAAGCTTAATGACATACACATAGAAGAGGATGAAAAAAAGATGTTATGCTACAATGTAACTAGTCTGTATACTAAAATACCAACCAATATGCCACTGGAGGCAGTCACAAGTCAACTAAATATTGACTCAGATATCGGTTGATGAGATCATATTAGGCGTACAGTTGTGCATGACCTCAATAGTCTGCAAATTTCAGGAAGAAATATACAGAAGGAGTAGGAATGGGCTCGCCAATGTCCCCTGCAATCGTTGGAGATATAATCCTGTATCTGAGATATGATGGCGATGCATGTTTGATACGGTTACTATGTATAAATCACAATATATCGACAATTTCCTCAAACATATAAACTCAGTAGTAAATCCAATCCAATTCACTTACATGGAGGTAGAAAATAAACAAGGAGAATTACCTATGTTGGATTGCAGAATAAAACGAAAAACAGACGGCGGCCTGGATACTACTGTCTACAGAAAACCAACACATTCCAACAGGTATCTAGACTTCAAATCATCCTAACCAATGTCAGTTAAGACAGGATTAGTCAAATGTCTAATGATAGAATTAGAAAACTGACTAGTCAGAGCAAGAACCTAAGCAAGGAATTGAAACACGTAAAAGAAACGCTAATAGTTAATAGTTATCCTCCATGGTTTATTAAGAAATTTTTACGGACATACAAAAAACGAAAAAATAACAGTCATATGGGTTCGACTAATAACGACATGAGAAAAAAGGAGTTCACAGCCGCCTCCATGGTAATATCCTATAAGGAGGAGATATCAGAAACTTTACATAGAATCCTCAACACAGCTGAAATTAATTAGGGTGGTATTCAAACCTACAAACTCACTCAGAGATAAACTTTGTCAACTGGCTTAACCATCCGATAGAACCAATTCAGCAAAATAATCTGAGGTCAAGTATATAGGTCAAAGTAGTCGGTCGGGGTCAGTTAGAATAGCCGAACATAAGAATTTATCTAAATATAGAATAACACACCTAAATAAGATGAATAATGTAGAAAAAACCTCGGCTATTGTTATGCATGCATTAACACACAAACACACATTAAGGTGGGTTGGATGAAGCCACTATACTTCAGTCCAATATACTTAGGTGGAGAGAGAGAGAGATTGATTATTGAATCTTTGTTCATCGAATGTACTCCTATGAAGTTTGACAATGTGAGCTCGATATACTTGTATTCAAGGTTCTACATTGGTTTTTTCCAGTTACCTAGTCAATTATTTAATGTAATAATATATTGTTGTATTTTTGAGATGAGTGAGGATTTTTAATTTAGAAGTATTATTCATCATGGACGGACATCAGTTGGGGAACCGTTGAAAATCTGGGAGCACTAGACAGCTGTTTCGTCCTATCATGGGACTCCTCAGCAGTACACACCCACGACCCGGCTGCGGATAGAACTTAGGACCTTTAGGTTTCACGGCGAACGCGTTAACCATCTAGACACGGTTTCCAGTGGTTCACAAGTTTCAACTTCTGTCAATTCACAACATAGCATGACTGTCACTCAAGGTCTTCAGTTAGCATCCACTTTACTTCCGACTGGTTGGCCCCTACAGGTCACGGCGTCTCATTAGAACTTCCTGAAGACCTTGAGTGACAGTCGTGCTGTGTTGTGGGAACCGACCCAGTGGCTGGATGGTTAACGTGTTCGCCGTGAAACCTGAAGTTCTTGAGTTCGATGCGTAGCCGGGTCGTGGGTGTGTACAGCTGAGAAGTCTCATGCTAGGACGAAATAGGTGTCTAGTGCTCCCAGATTTTCAATGGTTCCCCAACTGATGTCAGTCTATGATGAATACTTCTTCTAATAATGTAATAATTTGTTGATAAAATCAATAGTTTTATCTATCCTTTTTTTTACCTTATATTTCTAGAATATTCTTCAACGTTTAGCAGAAGTTACACCTGGTGTAACATCACTTGTTATAGCTCATCGATTGAGTACAATTGTAGATGCTGATGAAATTTTAGTCTTACGTAATGGTCGTGTATCTGAACGTGGTAATCATTACAGTTTATTAACACAACCACAATCATATTATAGTCAATTATGGGAACAACAATTACGTGGTGGTATCACTTCTTTCAATAATACAACAGTTATTGATAATAAACTTACAGATACTAATAATAATTTAGATAAACCAACGAATTCAGGTAATTAACCTACAGAGATATACAACATATTATGTGATATTTATGATGGTTCTTCCTTGTTCACTTTATATATATATATATATATATATATATATATATATATATATATATATATATGATACCTAGTGTACTCTACTTTCTATTATGATGATTACCCTATTAGTAGTATTAACTTTGTGTATATTGCAGAGAAAAATTGTTTGAAGTTTTTTTTCTCTAGAACTTTTACTCTTTTACTTCATACAAAATTGATTTCACCTACTGATAAAATGAAGAAGAGGCAAGAAGATAGTTACGAATTGGGATGGTACACCTTGCACTAAACCTATATCATTTGCAAAATGTGCTTCATTTCCTTTCTGCTTGATTTATTCTTCGTACATTCTTATCATCAACATTCACTGTAAATATACCTGCGTTATCCATTGCGTTGCTTTTGGCAGAATCCTTACTCTATGATTTCTGTCATTCTGTCAACATATACTACTTATATCCATTCTTATCAGCGACGCGCACAACAATAGCACATTTCGTGTTATTTTCGATTCGTCTGACAGATACACTTGGATACACCTGAATGATAAACATAAACATAGAACCCCCCCCCTCCCACACACACACACACACACACATAGAGAGAGACCTACATACCGGTGCATTGGCTCAAGTTGACACATTAGAAAGTAGTGCGCAAAGAACAAGTGAATTGGAAAAGACACTTTGAAGATAGGGGACATCAAATAGTGAATACATCTGCGACATTCTGGTTGATAACACCACTCACGCAGCTAGTCTATATTTCTCTACACCAACAGTCAGAGACTTCATGGGACTGGTGTCACGTCTGGGAATAGTCACTCTGAACCGCCTTTTTAACTTCCTATGGCACGTCCACATAGGTGGGAATTCGGCATGACCACCATATGTCCAAGCCATGTCAGTCGACTAAGATTCCCAACCTCATTAATCAACTTACCTGTCCTGCTGACTTTAACATTGCTCACACATAGATTCCACAGAATATGAGCACTACTACGGAGATATCTGTGATCTAAACCCTGTAATTGTTTCATGTTTGTCTCCATCTCATGAAATAAGTCAACTTTTGACTGTCATTAAAGCCTGCTGCCTCTTCATGTCATCTACTTCCAGCGGCTATGTTTCACAGCTGTTTGACAGGACAGAACGATCTGTAGTACAGTATACTCGTCATTTGATGGGTAATCGGATATCTTGCCAGATGGTGCTACACATGACGCAAATTGGCAATAGTCAAACGGTCCTTATGTATCTGAGCTGAGATTTCGTCAGCAACCAACCCTAGTAAGTGGTCGGTATATTCGACCATTTCACTTCCTATCACTAAGATAGGATTCGCGAAGCATTATCTTACATTTGACAAGTGCAAGACGCATGCTAAGTGTCTATTCAGATATGTGCTGAATGCGTTCAGAAGACTGCGTTTTGTCAGCGCCTTCACACAGCAGGTCAACATCGTCTGCATACTCTAAATCAAACCAGATAACCTCTGGAAAAGTAGGTCAATCCATGTTAAGTCAGATGTATCTAAGATTATGTCCATTAGTACGTCTATGACGAAGTTAAGTAGGAACGGTAACAGTGGACATCTTCAATTCTCATGATAACTTTCTATAGGCCCTTAAACGTCTATGTCACTTCCAGTAGAGATAGTTTTGATTAGCGTTATTTACTCTGTCGGTACTTCTTTCACAATCAAACACTGCCATGAAACCTCACGGTTGACTAAGTCAAATGCCGCTGACCGGTAGGTATACCTGTGTTTCACAACCTGTAGGAGGGTGAGAAGATCTATTCACCTCTGTCCAAGTCTAAACCCTCCCTGATTTTCTTGAGCTCAAGTTAGGCGTCGGACATCTATCCAGCTTAAAATCTTGGACCCAAAATTCGTCAAACTAATTGTCCTTTATCTGTCATCGTAAGACTTCTCTGTTTTATTGACTGGGATAGTCAGAGAAGTAGACCAGTCTGATGGCGCTACTTGTGATTCCTATACACTTCCTAATAACTCCGTCTCTTCAAGGAGTAATTTCTTATCGTCGTGCTTGGAAACTTTCGGTGGTCAATTTACGTGTGAATTGTGTTGCTCTTCATTGTGGTCAAAGCCAGCTTCAATAAGTGTTCTTGTATCAGTCATTTCGAGTGAGGTTGAGGAAATGCAAGGACGTTCGCTAACCTTCCTGTGTAGGTTACTAATTGTGTTTTTCAATGTCCATACAGCCGACCTAATATCACGCCAGGTTTCCTCACGATGAGTATTGCTGTCACGTTCAGATAATGATCACCCAACTTCTCTAAATACCTGCTTGGCGTCCTTATCTACCAATTGAGGACAGATTGGTCTCACTGCCTCCTGTTTCTTGCAACAGTAAGGCGCAGTCATAGACAAGACTGTACTAATGCGTGATTGGAGCCTAAACAGCTACTCCAGAATGAGCGGTAATCCTCCAACGATAGCAATATGATCTATCTGTGTCCATCGTTGATTTGAAGTCGGTCGACGCCATGTGAGACAGTGTCTCCCCTTATGCTTGAAGTCAGTACAAGTGATTATCGGAGTAAAACTGCAACACACGATCACTGTTGTCGGTTCGTTGGCAGGGATTATGTGAATACCCCCAGGATGCCTTTCCGATTGGTTCAGCTTCCCTACTTCAGCAGTGAAGTCATCTGACATTCTGACTATTTTTGAACGTTTTGCTTTCTGTAGCAAAGTTGACAGCTCTTCATAGAATTCATCCTTTGCATCATTACTCAATGCTTCCTAGTTTTGACAGATTCCTTCACTTAAGCAGCAGACAAAAGGCTGTTGACTAGTATCGAATTGAGAAGCACACTTTCTGCTCTACGTATCAATGCTACGCCTACACCACCGATTGCACGAGAGCTAGCCGTTGCATCTCCGGACACTGGTAGGGTTATTCTGAAGATTAATCACTATGGTCACGTAAGGTCAAGTGTGATGAATAACCGCACTCGGATCCTGTATACGTGTCTTACAGGCACAGCATACATCCATGACTAGAGATTCCAGAGTTCTGATGAGTGATACTTACTGTTTGATTTAGCATAGAGTTCGGATGTTGAAGGCTTCTACATGAAATCGATGCTGGGGGGGGGCAGGTCTAAGTATTGGTTGCAAAGTGAGGGGACTAATTTTAGTATCAGGCGATGAAGACAAATGAGGAGATAGAGTTGAGGAGGGTATGTTCTGTTTGATTTGGTCCTTTGTTCTAATTGGAAGCGATTGGGTGGTTGACACTTCCCGGTTCCCCACCCCCTGGAATGCTATTTCTTCATGAGGTATCTGAAGGAGGAAAGGATTTGTGTGACTGTAGAGTCGATGGAATATCTGCTCGACGTCTTTTGCGGGATATTGTTTTGTCCGACTAGCGAAAACCCACACAAGCGGCACCAGAAGACTGTAGTTCAGAGGTGAGTGTACTGTTTTTGAGTTGCCGACGTTTTCTATGTGTCAGTTCTCATAGGAAAGCTAGCATCAGCCTGTTACTGATGTTTATCTAAGGGGAAAACCTGACTGTTGTTACATCCACATCCAGCCATCAGTACAACTTCACCCTCAGATCGCCATCATAATGTAGTAGTTCACGCTACAATAGTAACCGCTTTCTGTCTAACGACTTTCCAGTAGACTTTTGTGGCATGGTTAAGACCTCGAAGAAATAAGCCCGACTCCCCCTGTCAATGGTAGCAGCTGTTGGTCAGGATATAAATGTGATTTGTGGATTCCATAGACACATTTTACTTATGTTATCTACTTGAAGTTATCTGGTAAATAACCATTTTACGCATATTGCTTCATTTAGCGTAAACTACAACAGTCTATACGGTTTTAATAAAGAATTATGCTTGAAACATTTTACACACAAATGTTACAAATAGCGAGAATTCAACTTCAATCTTGTACTGGTTTAATCACCTTTCTCTTTTGTAACACATAGATTCCTAGTGTAAAACAAGAGACTAGGCTAAAACGCGAAAGGAGAACTGAATGACCTATTGAAGTTGAAGAGAATCGCTAGTTAACGAATTGTAAGAAGATGTAAGCGAAAAATGACTACATGTTTAAATTAGCATAGACCATAGAAGTGCACCAGTTCAAGTCATCATACTTCATTATATTATTATGTTTTCCCTTGGGTTTCTATTGGAACATTGGGCTTTAGTACACGCCTCCATTTCACTCTCTTCTCGGCAGTCTTTTGAACCTGTTGCCACGATTCCCCACAAGCTTTCGTGTCTTCCTCACTTGATCTCTTCCATGTCAACCTCGCCTCGAACGCCAAGCTCGTCGTTCCCCATCTGGGTTCCACTTGACGGCATGGCCTGGTGTGTGATGTCTCCAGTTGGCCTTCTCAGTGTTTGTCCAATCCAATCCATCTCCACTTTATTCTGCATATTTGTTGGGTAATAGGTTCTTGGTTGGTTCGTTACTAGAGTCCATTGTTGCTTATTCTTTCTGACCATCTGATCTAATCTTCAGTATCGAGCCAGCGTAGGCGGTAGCTATTGATGAATGTCTCGAGTTTGTTGGAAATGCTTTTCGTGACACGCCAAGTTTCTGAACCATATAGAAGCACTGACTTGACTGAATTAGTGTTGAAAATCCAGATCTTGTGTTTTGTGCTGAGTGTAGTAGATCTCTACACTTATTTCAGATTAGTGAAAGACTATCTTGCTTTTCCGATCCTGACTGGCTTTGATATCCTTGCCTGCACCGCCGCCTGTAGTTGAAACGATGCTTTTCGACCCATGATCAGTTCTCTTCCTGTTTTGTCTGCTTCCAGTATGGTATTCATGTCGCCCATTAGAATTTTGATGTCGCCATCTGGAGTCTTGTCTAGTACTGATTGCAATTGTCTGTAGAATCCCTCCTTCTCCTCTTCATCTGCATTATTTGTAGGTGCACAGCGTATCATTGGATGTTTGTGACTTTCGTTCCTTCATTTAGAGTTGAATCTTGCTGTCATGATCCTGATAGTGGAGGAGATTGGTTGCCACTGCATGAGAGTGAGCCTTTGATGCTGTTGGAAACATCATGATAGCCACTTGTCTGGGTGACAACAGTGGAGTAGATTATTGACTCTCAGTTGACAGTTTGGAGAGTCCACTTCCATTCCACCTGCTTTCGTAGATTGCCATACCTTATAGTATCATGCAAAGGACAAATGCATAGATGAAAACTGATGTCAAGGTAGATAAAGTTGAATGAGAGAATAAACTGTCTGAGGATAAAGGTTTTTACTAGTATTCAAGCCTTAGAAGATGTCAAGTAATGAATACATCAGTGCCATTTTGACCAATTTCTTGTCATATCACCAAGAGACCTTAACCACTGATTCCTGTTGTTTCATGGACCTCTAC